TGGAGAATGAATTATGTTTTCAGTCGCATATACCGTGACAGATATGTTTTGTTAGTTTGGTGTTAAACGCCACACTCCGCAATATTCAAGCTATATGACGGCGGTCTGTAAATAATCAGGACCAGACAATTCAGTGATTGATATCATGGGCATCGATCTACAATTCGGATATGATGACATGCCTCAACGAAATCAGCGAGCCTGACCATCCGATCCCGTTAATTCCCTCTTACGACAAGCATGAGAAGCTGAAAATCAATTCTAACCCGGATCCTCACGGGTCCATGATGGGTGTTCTTTAACTTCTTTAAAATAGTGTATTTTCGTTATTACATAATACAACAATCGTTTTTGAGATGGGTTTTAGGTTAAACCTTTTGGGAGCATTCGGAAAGGTATGAATATTGGAAACGGCTAAATGAAGAGTCAATATTTCAACAGTTGTGACTGACACCGAAACACATGTAGTTGCCCTGAACTGTGGATACAACACAGCTTGTGCTATTTGAATACTCATGGTCACGTACATGCTGATTATGCAATTCATCCGACACTGATATAAATATATCTACTTTTTTCAGAAAACCTACGCCCAAAGGGCGCATGACCGTGAATTAGAATCATACGAAGAGGCTGAGAAACAACGTCAGGCGAAAATTAACGCTAAAAAACAAGCGTTCACTTATCAACCTGCTATCACAACTATCTCGGAGAAAACCCCAATCGGAAATGACGTCATTACGCCTGCATCCAATGGCGTGAGCGTAGTAGAAACCAAGCAACCAGTGGACGATGTCACGAGGCTCTGAACACCAAGTGTGATCGCTGATAAACTAGAGATGTGTATATTGAGCCTGGAAAGTCCAGCAAACTTCAGTCTTCATGGGCGTCTCCCATGAACACATATTTAGTCCAGATTTGACATTTTAATTCTAATGGTAATCGACATAATTGTTTCAGAAAGTGCAAGCGTGGAAGTCCTGGTGGCTTTGAATCCTGTTTTTCAAACGACAATGTCTGTAAACATTTTAATTATTTAGATCATTCTCTCAGTAACTGATTACCGCGATGTCTGACACTGTAAAACAGGCCACTTCTAAATTTCACCCAGATCAAGATTATGGAGATATTAAAATTCACCAAACCGTGGAATGTTGACGACTTTACGGATACTTGGTTCGAGGTAGTGGCCAGTCCATCCATACAAGACTATTCAGATCATTCAAACTCCATGTTGTTGCCCTGCTCAAATCTATCACACCGATCAAATCATTCCAAAGCTAATGATAACCATATTTACATCATCATCTACGCCGTCTTGAAATGGGCACCACCTACGTTATGCAACTCAATACAGAAAGTTCAAAGATAAAACGACCCGGGTACTTAACTGGCAAAAAGCTGTAGACATACCTAAAGGAAGCCATTGAGAGATAATCAGTGCCTTGAAGTTCTAAAGTAACACGTGACCTGACCCGTCACAATGGAATGCCCTTCTGCACACGACACCAGCCTTATACAACCAATTAGAAATACATAATAACCAATTGTTGTGACGCTAAAAATAGAACGATAATGTAAGCCTCGTTTTGGATTAAGAAGCGCTCTGAATGTTTTGATGTCTACCCTTAACATATTTTTTTTCACAGTCACCATATCATTACGTTCAGTGAAGTATTTGACTGGCTACCTCGGATATGATCGGAGTTTTAGTTGATCCATTGGTCATTCTTGACACGATGTTGTCATTATTCCAAAACTCAAAAGTATTATTTCGTTTTAAAAAGAATACCATTCAGCGATTGTCAGAACATATTTATTAAATGCCCCAAATTAAACATGTATTACTTCTTGTAGGCGAACAGATCATTTTTTATATATTGTACTTATATATCATCAATATTTGTTATTAATAATGCAGTTTTATAAACCATGTCTTTGTTTGTTTCTAGTTACAGATTCTTAACTGTTTTAATGACGATTATTCGCATTGATAACCATTCTCGTTGCATTTCCTTATTGGATATTGCAACCCAGAACCACAGACCCCAGACAATAAAGGCGGAACGTACAAAATAGATTGAACTTAATGCCTATATAAGTAGAAAAGGAAATCTATACTAAAACTATAGAACATGATTTCGATACATCATTCAATGGAATATATATATAAATGGATTCCAAAAAATATAACCAGACGTTACTAAATAAATATTGTTAGATACTGTCATTTTCTCTTTTATGTCATTTATCGTAATGTACATATCACTTGAGGCTACAACAGTTTGTTTTACGAAATCAGGGCCTGAGCATTATCCCTTTCTGGCCCCGAATCGGGACTTTACTTCACTTAGATCTGATTGCATGTCAGTCTCAAGCTGTTTTTGTTATTAATATATATATATATATATATATATATATATATATATATATATATATATATATATATATATATATAATACCATACACAAGAGTAGTTTTTTAAAATGTTCACGTGACGAATCCGACCTCAACCGGGTGTTGCCGATGATCTGCCGAATGACCAGCCTCGTCAAACATTCGGAACGTCTCGAGCTTTTCATGACGCCGCCCTATTGATCTGTACATGCATTTTCATTTAAACTGTGAGCCACATTGATCTTGCTTCCAAATGAATCTTCGTGGTGTATAGACAATATAAGCACATTTCCTTATCTATTTTGTGTGAATGCAGGGTCGAGGAGTTAATGATGACAAGTATACAAGAATAGATATCGGACTTTCAGAACACACCATGTCGATCTTTATGGCTCTCGGTTTTCAACATACCTATAGTCTAGTTCAGGAATGTAGATATTGGTAGAAGTTTTCGCATGGGTGAAAATGCGTTACATCTAGCGATGTTTATTTTCGATCTTTCATATTGAAAATGTTTAAGCATTGTACTGTTTTGGTAATAAATTTGTAAATACAATCCACAGTGTAGCGTTGTCCGTGGCATAATAGGCTGCCCAGTGTCAGCTGTACATTTTTCTCAACATGGAAATTTGTGCACATCTGGATTAAAATCTTATCTGTATAGTGCACCTAAGACGGTACTTATGACGAAGGGCACGGGTGACCTGTCGCCTAAGGCGCCGCAATTCGCTGTGCAGAGTGGCGTCCCTTAGGCACGTCACAAACTTTTTGATTGTTGGTTCGAATCCCGGTTCGTACCGATTCGTTTCTAGGTTTGGCATCACCATGCCCGTGCTCCTGGGTTTCACCAAAGGGTTGAACGTCTGAGACCTCCCTCACTTCGGGCTTTCCTCCCACAGTAAGCTGACAGGCCGTGATATAACTGGAAAACTGTTTAATGCGGCGTTAAACCAAACTTAATCACTCATTTATCAAGAAGGAAGGTCATATATACAATACACAACGCCAAGCGATCAGAGGCGCCATATCTGTGTAGTCTCTGTGCAGAATTACGTCCCTTGAGAGTGTCAGTATCCGCTGATGGTGGGCTTAAATACCAGATTCCACACCAAATTGACCACTGTTCAAAGAAGCGTAAAACCAAACACACTCACTGAGCAACTGTAAACCTAAGCCAAGGAATAAGACACCTTGAACCGTAACACTTATTTAACAGGTCAAAGTGTTCTCATCACCAATTGTTCGTGATTGAACACATGTCTTCGCTCGTCTGCGCATCATTTAAACGCATTGGGTTCCACTTTGTCCGTTTCCGAGTGTGTGTTTGTGTGCGAGTCATAGAGCTCGTTGACATGGGGATTACGAGTCATAGAGCCCGTTAACATGGGGATGCTTGCACAGCGATGCAGGAACACTTAGGGTGATTTGAAAAGCATCTTTCGCGGACCAGATAACACGTTTATCTGTATGTTTTATAGAATGAAGATATCATGTTAGAAGCAGGAATACAGAATGTTTAACTTGTTCTCAAATATACACTTAGAAAAAGGCTTCATTCCCTCTTTGTTTTTACATATTTCGATCTTGCATGTTTCGCTGTTCAGTTCGAAGACCCGGGTTTGATTCCCGACATGGGTACACTGTGTGAAGCCCATTTCTGGTGTCCGCCGCCGTGATATTGCTGGAATATTGCTAATCACTCTCTCACTCATTCAATGTGATCATGGCAAATTCACGGTCGGGACACCAGAAATAGGCTCCACACAGCCAAGCCTGGGTCATCGGCGTAACGAGACAAGGCTTAAACAACTAGGCTACTCCACCGCCTGGAAAACATATTATCATATTTGACCGCGATAAATCGGGGCTGGCTCGACAGATTGATGCATACTCAATAAATATTGTATATTGCCTTCAGCACAACGTTCAGCAAGTGAATGTTGTTTAACGCCGCAGTCAGCAATGTTGGTGTCTGAGCGAGACAAGCCAATGTTTGATACACAGGAATTCGTTATTGGTCAGTAAATGAAACTCTATATAAATGTATATTTATTGACCAATAACGAGTTCCTGTGGTTTGATATGTTGTGTAACAATCCACACTGTGGAATCCAGATGACACGTAGGCTCTTGCAAGCATGGCGTACCTGGGATCTTGCATGATCCGGAATCCTCGTATGACATGAGAACATGGCACAAGGAATAGAGGATAATAAACTCTGTTGACACTTAACGTGGGAGGTGATCATTGTCAGACTGGCGTCCCGGGTATTCTGCCAAGGGAGGTAACTCCAGTGTTCTGCAGTGTTTCCTATGCCAAGATGTTTCATATATTAAAGATTCCTAATGACATTATTCTTACAAAGGTAATTATATTTCCATATGCTATGTTTCTACCAAGTCACCGAGTCTAACCACCCGATCCATTTAGTCTCCTCTTACGGCTAACATAGGATGCTGGGGACATTATCGTCTTTTGAAACATTAATCTTTATATATAATGAGTATTGTATTTACATGTGGGAATTCAGTCTACCTCAAGCTTATCGCAATGAGAATTTTCTTTCTTATTCACCACACTCTACAGTAATTATTAAAGCAACTCTTTTTTCATTAAAATTTATTGTATTGAAACAAAAGAGTTGATGAGTTATGAATGGACACAATTTAACATACAATTGATGAAAAACATAAAAAACAAACAATAACGACAAATCAAAATCAAATTCCCAACGGTAACAGAAGTTTGTTTTTCCACTTTTGTTTATCATGACGCCTAAATCAGATGATTGAACGGATGTCACCCGCATCCTGATCAGGACTTGCTTGATGTCTGTGTTACATCTGTGTTCAACAGTCCTCGCTAGGTGGGACCACTTTGTGTCTCTTGTTTTGGGCCTTCAGCGTGGCAGTTACTCGTATCCCAGCATGCTGTCAATGTTCAGCCTGTGCTCCATTATAGTCTCGTTAACAAGTAAGCCTGTTCTCCATCAACTCGTGTGCCTGCTCCTCCCTTTAGGAGAAAATCTTGATGCAGCTTTCAGGCTGTAAGTGTCTCTTAGCAGACCGTGCATGCTGTTACTACCACACGTGTCCAGCCTGTGTTCAATGAGGTAGCATCAAGTGCTGGCCTTGCATGTTGAGACTACTATAACAGTGTGCATATCGTGCCCAATCAGTCATAATCAAGCCATGTTCTGGCCTTGCTCTGAAGGAGGACAAATGCACCTCGATGTGGCCACCAGAGATCGTGTCCTTTTTCATTCTCACAGAGGGACAGATGCACCTCAAGGTGGCTGTCATACCGAAAGTTTGGGAAGGTACTACCAGGGAAGTTATCCCCCTTCTGACATCGACTCGACCTTGAACCCTGTCAGCGAATACTGAGTGGGTCCTACTGCCATGCCACTGTAATAAGCCACCACTTGACTCAGGGAAGGAAACCTCAGAAGGCTCGACTTCCCATCAACGTCAGTGGCGCCTAAAATATCCTTGACATGGCTGTCGACAACCATCCAGCCACCAGCAGGGTTCTGCAGCAAGGCCGAGCTTCTGCCATCAAAGGTGATAATGGCTCCCTGGCAGTCCTGGGCGTTGACAACCCTCCCCACAGCATCCCCAAACTCCCTGAGGGGCTGGCCTGGCATCCACTCCCAGGTCAACTGACTCGTTAGGGAGTTCGAGTCCATGCTGCCAGGGTACAGAAGTCCCTGCATCTCGCAGACTCGGCCGCACCGGACAGGCCATCTCGACTGGGAGTCTTCTGGCTCCTCCATCATCTCGTCTGCTGCCAGATGTTTGCTGAGAGGAGCCCAGCTTCCCATGGTGTCGAGGATGGCGTCATGAAGACGGTCCCCCATGACGAGGACCCCGTCAAGTGTAGCTGGAGTCCACAGACCAGCAGGAACAACTGCACTGGCAACAATGGCGGTGAATGCCACCGAGGTGCACTGGGTTCCTGGATGTCGAGATCTGAAAGAAAAGAAACAAGAACTTTTATTCACAGAAGTAACTTTTGAAAGATGAATTTCGAAGTTGTTCTCAAATAAAAAAAGTATTGTTTAAATTCCCTCATCAAAATATGCCTAAAGGGTTGACTGCAATGTTTAAGTAGTACATAATTCTCCAATATTACAAATATTTAGTTTATACACTTCACTTACGGGCTCCACACTTCTGAAATGTGGCCTTGGTGGAAGTGTCCGAGGATGGAGTGTCTGCATTCAGGCTGACCGGACACTTCCACTGTGTCCTTGACCTCTGTAGCTGACTGGCTGGACGTGGGTGGGAGTTCCCTGGCGGTCTGGGCTGTGTGCGCAGATCTTGATGGGAGAAGAGGGTGTTCCCCGGCCGGGGTGCCATATCCAGAAAGAGTAGCCCGAGGCTGTGAGCTGTAATCCCCTGGGGTGGGGGTAAGGAAGCTCCTTAAGTCCAGTATAGGCTTCTGGGACCTTCAATGTGAAGAGAGAGACGTTTAGTTTCAGTGATGGAGTATCGTATCATTATGACGTATGAAACTACATTGTTACAAGAATACTGTATCGATTTGAAAAAACAAAAGTTTACATTACTGTTTTAGTTCTGACGGCTAAAATAAACATCCGAATGGCGGGGAATAATGGCACCATAGCGTTATTGTAAAACATACTAGCTGCCCTAACCTTGATCTCTCGAGGAAAAGACAGCAGTTTATAATTTGGTCAGTTTCGTATAAGGGAGTGCGACTTACCTAGGGCTGGGACGGGTAACTCGGGTACCCGGGTCGGGTGGGTACTGAGTAGGACCCGGGCACCCACAGGACTACCCGGACCCGTGGTTAGTCACGTGATATATTGTTTAATGACCAAAATAATCTAGAACTCCATGGTTACACTACAAATCACTAATGTTCGCATTTCTTTCTGGCTATGCACCCATATCTTCTGATTTTTCATATGATTGAATAAAGATATAACTTAATTCAACTTCAGTGTATGAATGACCAGATTGTTCAATACATGTATCTAAATACGTTTTACCAGGGCTATGCTAAAAATGTTCCCATTCGGACATTTTGAGACATCTCCTGAGACCTACAGTGGGTACCCGGGTAGGATCGGGTAATAGGGGGGTGGGTACCCGGGTAGTAAATTTGGACTCGTCCCAGCACTTCACTTACCCATTCAGGGATCTTGCAGGAAGTTCTTTGATCTTTGTCTCTTTGTAATAATCGCCCCCGTCATCCTTCAAGTCAATTATCATAGTATCAGTTATCAATACTGTTACTGCTACTTGACTGTATGCTCGGCTAATATCAGAAATGTAAAGACTACGTTGTCGTTGTTTACTGTTCGAACAGCGAGCTTGAGTCTGATATATATCACAGTATTATATATGCCATCATGGTATCATTATAAAGTATCAGTTAGTTTCAGTTGTCAAGACTGACGACTAGATCCTCTACAACATATACCACTACACGACAACTACAAATAACAACTGGTAATGCATCGAATCCTTCAACCAATCGGTTCTCACTGTTCGAATGGTATTTGACGACGACTATTAATACTGCTGTTGAACATGGGATGAACTGTTTCTACAGGACCTGGACAAGTTGACATCTTCATTTGTGACTGTGCCACGAGGAAAATTTAAACTTTAATTTGTCAAGCGGAGACAAATAAATATATTTCAGCGTGTTACTGAGGGCTTCGTGGACTTGGAGAGACACGGGTACAAAGGTCATTAGGCAAAAAATATGGTTCGAACACGAAAGCACTAGGAAGACAATAATACTATGAAACCTACCGCTACTCGAAAGGTGCAGCAGAATCTCCGGGCCTGCCGAGAACACCACTTCCTGAGTCTACGGAAGTACGACTGGGGAATGTGGATCTTACTCGCCATTGTGTCCAGGGCAGATGTACCAGTGTTTCAGAGACGTTGGGAATGCATAAAAGATATTAATTCACATACAAATATGCCAGTGGCACGCCACTCACGGCGAATCAAGAGTTGGTGTGAAGTCAAACGCCCCTCTCTTGCAACTCAGGCGACAATCGTGTGACGTCATGAGAAACAACCAATCACAGTGCGTCACTAAGTGGCTCCATACAGCGACATTTCAAAACACCATTTGGAAGAGCTGGTAAGTGGCTCAAAGTCCAAAATCAATAATCTACATTCGGTATTTGAATTAACTTTGTGTCCTTTTTATCACATCTTTAATCTTCCACAAGGTTAAAACGGTTTAGAATCTAATTAAGAAAAAATGTTCATGGAAATACGTGTAAGAGAACAAAACAATTACCCTTGAAACACGCCTTTAATATTATATTATGCACATACAATTACAGTATTACACACTACATGTAGTTCTCCACTGCAAATACACAGAAACTATAGGGGACTAGAAATGGGCAAGTTGCAACCTATTCATTGACTCAAAATCCACTTGTTTGATAAATCAAAACTGATCACGTACATCAATCTTACATGCATTATAGCTAAAATGGATAGAATTATCATAAAAACGCCCGCATGTTATCAGAAATGAGCGAGCCACTGTAACTTGATAATGCCCTCATATCACTTGACGACGGGCCATTATCACGCCCGTTGTTAGGTGACGTCATAGGATAGGGATAGGTGACGTAACGTTCAATAGTGACGTCATCTGGTTTGTTCTATGACGTTTCCATATTTGTAAAAGTGGGTCAGTGACATTCGTGTTGTTTGCAGTAAATGTTTCAAAATCGACATTGTTGTTTCTTTTTATTTGATAACAAATTCCATCCATTTTAGCTATAATAACGGTAACGCTATTTTTCAGGGCATTATCATTTTGCAGAAGCCCTCGGTCTTTTCAACTGCCCTCCTTCGTCGGGCAGTTAATGGAAGACCTCGGGCTTCTGCAAATGATAATGCCCTGGACCCGGTTGTATCAAAGCCTCATTAACTAATGGCTACATTAAACCCTAATGATACATTAAATGCTTAATGCACCATTAGTTAATGGCATCATTAAAATCGGTTGTATCAAACGTTTATTAGCATATCATTATCTAATGATGCCTTAATGTAAGTGTCCTCATTAAGCTGTCATTAAATTCGGTGTTTCCCCTAAATATTTCCCACAATTCCTTGACGTAAACACGTACGCGTTACTTCCGGTCGTCTGTCAAAATGGCATCGTATCCACCTAAACCTAGGAATAGAAACAAGAATTTCGACAGCTCCGAAATTCAGCTATTAGCTTAACAGTAATAAACAAAGCTGGGAAACCATATCCCTTTGATTCAACATGAAAAGAGAAAAGTGCACGCGTTGACAAATACATACAGCGAACACTGTCAACTTATTTCTTCAGTGACAACAGATGGTATCTCTGCATTCTTCTGTATAGTTATATTAAAGCAGAGACAGTTTGACCATTTCAGTTAGTGAAATAGTGCCTTGTGATGTAATCACGGATGCCCCGTCCATCTTCGGGACCTGTATATTGCCCTTCAATGTTACTGTCGTCCTCTCCATCAACATCCAGCATGGGTTCACGAAGAATTATCGCCAGATTATGCAACACAGCACAAGCACCTGTGAAATATAGTATGATTGTTTAAAGGGTTTACAGTATTGTTATCATTCGATTCTTATGTTATATGAAGGAGTGTTTCCCACTGGTGTTAGCACTGTTCCAGCTATATATATATGCGATCTTATATATCGGTTAGCTTCAAATTTATTTCATAGTTACAATGTATATTATTATCTTAAAAAGCTAACCAATGATGGTGCAAACTCTCTCTGGGCTCATCCTGATTTCACCGTGCAGAACATGGAAACGCCGTTTGAGCCACCCAAATGCTCTTTCTATGGTTGACCTTGTTCTTTTATGGGAAGAGTTGAATCGCTCTTGCTCGGGGCTAGATGGCTTTAGATACGGAGTCATCAAATACGGACGACATGCGTATCCACTGTCACCGAGAATAACGCCGTCTTGTAGAGTCGTATGGTGTGTTTCCAGGTGTTGCCGCACGTTACTCATCTTGAACACGTGGCTGTCATGCGTACTGCCTGGCCATCTCGCCACTAAGTTAGTAAATTTACCTACAGATCGAGACAAATGGGGTCAATGTTAATATAAGTCAATATTACCATCGAACTAGGTTCATATAGCAGCCACTGCCATATAGCTGAAACATTGCTGATCGCGGCATTAAACAACAAATGCTGAAATCATATCATACTATAAAGATTTGTCTCATAGCTATTTCGTTTAACAACGTGAATGGTGTCAGGGTCGTAAACATATTGTCCTTGTGACTTTGAAGGGAGGACGTGTATGCTCCATGCACAGGTTTAACAGTGACATTTGATTTGTTATTATAAAATTTTATTTAACACACCTTGGCTGTCACACACTGCTTGAACGTTGATCGAATGGTAGCCTTTCCTGTTGACAAAGGCAGGTTCGTTGTCTGATGGTGCCTGTATCCGTACATGTGTCCCATCGATACATCCGATGACTCCAGGAAATCTAGATATATTGTAGAATTCTTTTCTAATGTCGCCTATATCCCTCTCGGACGGCCAGGTAACAAACTTGGGCACAAGTGACGCAATGGCAAGGGAAACTTTCCTCACAACTCGTGAGGCTGTTGATTTGTCTATCCCTATTGTGTCGCCAGTGATTTGCAGGAAACTTCCACTTGCAAAGAAACGTAGGGCTACCAGAACCTGATAAAATGATTATAAAGAGGCTAATGATAGGTTTGACAAATTTTCAAATATTTCCATAATACTTATATCTACTTTGTTATTTATTTGGCTGCGTTTTCATTATGTCTCACTTAGTAAAGTGTTAATGATTGGTATAAGATGTGCATGCTTTAATTAATTAAAATGTTCTTTTGGCCGGAATCGAACTCGCAAAACTGTTCTCTTCAGTGTGCACGACACATTTAGTTTAAGTCATTAGAGTAACTTCCCCTTATGAAATTGATCATGGCTGACAACGCCAAGTTGAAAACGTATCTTTCTGGAGTGAAGTGAAAGGGATCCATGAATTTACATTACTTTCAATTGTGAAATATATTTACAAGGTTGGTATCATTAGGCTGCACATATGACTTTACCAACACAGACCAGTGAGCTGACCCACGTAGAAGTGCGTTTCATTCATTGTAAAGATTGCCGCTATAACTTTGGCGCTATAATTATGTGTTTATTTCAAACTAGCTGAGTTTCTAGTGACGACGTGTTAATTATCAAACATTTACCTGTAGTTCAACACTAAGTGCGTGCGATCTTGAAGATTTGGGCTGTAATTCATCTCTCACAAGATCGCAGATATATCCGATGCTTGCCTTCCCAAAACGGTAGCGTGCCCTTACTTCTTCCTCGCTCATGGATTCGAGGTGTTGAGTTCGTTTTCTGAAAACACGGTCTTTCCTTGTGCGTCCTAAGCGTTCAAACAATATGTTCGCGGCCATGTTTGTTTTTAATGACACGCTAATGATGCCCCAGAACCTTCATTAAGTTAATGACGCGCTAATGACACCACGACGTCATTAAAACGTTAGTACAACTGGATTTAATGATACATTAGTTAATGAAGGTTTAATGACACGTTAATGCATCATTAAAGTTTGATACAACCGGGTCCTGGACCCGGTTGTATCAAAGCCTCATTAACTAATGGCTACATTAAACCCTAATGATACATTAAATGCTTAATGCACCATTAGTTAATGGCATCATTAAAATCGGTTGTATCAAACGTTTATTAGCATATCATTATCTAATGGTGCCTTAATGTAAGTGTCCTCATTAAGCTGTCATTAAATTCGGTGTTTCCCCTAAATATTTCCCACAATTCCTTGACGTAAACACGTACGCGTTACTTCCGGTCGTCTGTCAAAATGGCATCGTATCCACCTAAACCTAGGAATAGAAACAAGAATTTCGACAGCTCCGAAATTCAGCTATTAGCCGAGTTGGTGGAGAAACACATCTCCATACTTAACAGTAAGTTTTGCAGCACCGTTACCCACGAAAGAAAGAATGCTATTTGGGCAGACATAACTTCCAAAGTTAACGCCCTCGGTGTTTGTCAGCGTACAACAAAAGAAATAAAAACAAAATGGACGAACATGCACCAGACGGCCAAAAGGGAATTCAGTAACAGACAGCTGGACATGAGGAAGACCGGGGGAGGGCCCTGTATTGCCCCACTTTCCACGACGAGTGAAAAGATAGTTGACATTTACAAGGAATGTCCCAGTTTCACTGGACTCACGGGCATCGAATCGGACGATCTAGTGATGCAAATGGGTATGTCGCCTGCGTTCAATAAAATATCGATACACAAACTGTTGTAAGTTTTAAAAAGTACTTTACATGAGACAACGAACAAGTAGCCTAATCAAATCAGCTGCTCATACACGTTGAACAAGGCTATGGGGAATGGGATGTTGCACATGATTTGATGATCATATATCAAGAGGAAATGAAAAAACAAACATTTAACCAACCTTTTTCACAACTATACTCTTTCAGTACAATTGCCGGTTGTGATAAAATACACAGTGCACAGTTTCATATTTTTCATCAGTTCTCCGACCGGCAGCCATTGTGAAACGAGAAGGGGGGCAACTCTCATTACCCCTGTTCCTAACCCAAAAGTTCACGTTGTGTCTTTCGATGTTAAGTTCAAATCTTGACATTTTTCGTCTCCAAATGCATATTTTATGTGAAGCATTTTTACTTTTCAAGAGAGAATTTACTTATGACGACAAAATTGGGTGAAATATATGCCTCATTATATCAAACTAATTTTTTTTCAACGTGGTTGAATAGGACATATGTTATCAAACACAAATTTAACATACAATTCTAATATATCATTTCATTTGGCTATAAGGCTAATGATAATAACACTGGTGCCAACATGAGTAAAAGAAAAACACTTATACAATCAGAATTTGTTTTTGCACTATAGAGGGGTGAAGGTTTTTGTTGTTTTCAATCTACTATTTCATCATTTGTCATGGGTTGGGATAATTATTTCTGTAGAAACGATTTTGTTACCCGTGAAGAAAAATAAGACGACAAAAGAAAATGTATTATCGTGATCCATAGCTAATTCTCACTGGAACCGAAAAACAAATGTAATTAGTTGAGCGCAACAGAGTTGTGTCCCTTTACTGCTGGTTCGTGTAAACCGTACCTCTCCGGTTTCAACAGTGTAATCAAATATTAATTATCGTTATATAACAACTTATTTTCAAAAAGTGTGCAAATAACTTTATGTGTGTGCAGGTACGGAAGTCGCCGATGTAATTGCCACTCCTTCGACTTTACATCTGTTAGCACGGGCTTTAGAAGAAAATGTTGGCGATGTCCCTATTCAGGAAGCGTCTGTGCCGAATTGTTCCAGCTCACAGATCTACCCAGAAGGAGAATTGTCTGTCGACCCATCTGCATTACATGCCGACATCAATACCATGGAAGAGTATGTCGTATTATTTCATACTGGGATCTATCTTCTTGCAGCAGTGCTAACATACATGAAATGCCAAGTCCTTTTCTGCACTCGCCCACCCATTAGATTGTAACACTCAAACTAATTTTGGCCTTTAACATACGCGTATACACCGTAGAATTAATTGTATATACATACGGAGACTCGCATGACCATAATGATCAAATGATACAAAACAATATATTTTTTCAGGCCTTTGGTCCAGACTGTGTCGAAATCAAATCGTGTCACCAAGAGAAAGATCAAACAGGATGACATCACTCGACTGCAGTATGAGGTTTTGCTTGAGCAGAAAAAAAAAGTCATTCAGCAAACTATTTACTTTGAGCTCATGAACAAGAAGCTCCGATTGGAGTTGGATAGCTTGATGCACTATGAATGAAAATGACATCCTCATGTTTGAAATGTTACTAAGAGTTCATTAAAAAATATACAATTAGTTTGATAGTGTGCTACTCAGTGTTGTGTTGTATATTGTATAGCTTCAATTGAACGAACGGGAGATAACTAACAATGTCAATTTTAATAAATTGTTATCCATCTTTTACTTTATACTATATACAAGTAACCAAACACGTATCACTTCGGTAGATTGCTGGGTGCTCTTTACGTATGTAGCTGTCAATAACGATGAGTTGATGAGATAAACCGATCAGTTAATTCACGATTTCGATGAAATTTATATAAACCATATTCAATAAAATTAATGTGATAGACTCATTGCTAAAGATACACAAAGAACCTTACATGCTCACCGTGAAGTCTTGGCGTTGTGCAACAAATTCAAACTCATTGTATGCGTGTAGCGTTTAGCCGTATTTTTCTGAAGGGAAATGTGCACTGTACACTGGACAATATTTACGCAGTAATCTAAATTAAAGTTAAACAAAGCTGGGAAACCATATCCCTTTGATTCAACACGAAAAGAGAAAATTGCACGCATTGACAAATACATACAGCGAACACTGTCAACTTATTTCTTCAGTGACAACAGATGGTATCTCTGCATTCTTCTGTATAGTTATATTAAAGCAGAGACAGTTTGACCATTTCAGTTAGTGAAATAGTGCCTTGTGATGTAATCACGGATGCCCCGTCCATCTTCGGGACCTGTATATTGCCCTTCAATGTTACTGTCGTCCTCTCCATCAACATCCAGCATGGGTTCACGAAGAATTATCGCCAGATTATGCAACACAGCACAAGCACCTGTGAAATATAGTATGATTGTTTAAAGGGTTTACAGTATTGTTATCATTCGATTCTTATGTTATATGAAGGAGTGTTTCCCACTGGTGTTAGCACTGTTCCAGCTATATATATATGCGATCTTATATATCGGTTAGCTTCAAATTTATTTCATAGTTACAATGTATATTATTATCTTAAAAAGCTAACCAATGATGGTGCAAACTCTCTCTGGGCTCATCCTGATTTCACCGTGCAGAACATGGAAACGCCGTTTGAGCCACCCAAATGCTCTTTCTATGGTTGACCTTGTTCTTTTATGGGAAGAGTTGAATCGCTCTTGCTCGGGGCTAGATGGCTTTAGATACGGAGTCATCAAATACGGACGACATGCGTATCCACTGTCACCGAGAATAACGCCGTCTTGTAGAGTCGTATGGTGTGTTTCCAGGTGTTGCCGCACGTTACTCATCTTGAACACGTGGCTGTCATGCGTACTGCCTGGCCATCTCGCCACTAAGTTAGTAAATTTACCTACAGAACGAGACAAATGGGGTCAATGTTAATATAAGTCAATATTACCATCGAACTTGGTTCATATAGCAGCCACTGCCATATAGCTGAAACAGTGCTGATCGCGGCGTTAAACAACAAATGCTGAAATCATATCATACTATAAAGATTTGTCTCATAGCTATTTCGTTTAACAACGTGAATGGTGTCAGGGTCGTAAACATATTGTCCTTGTGACTTTGAAGGGAGGACGTGTATGCTCCATGCACAGGTTTAACAGTGACATTTGATTTGTTATTATAAAATTTTATTTAACACACCTTGGCTGTCACACACTGCTTGAACGTTGATCGAATGGTAGCCTTTCCTATTGACAAAGGCAGGTTCGCTGTCTGATGGTGCCTGTATCCGTACATGTGTCCCATCGATACATCCGATGACTCCAGGAAATCTAGATATATTGTAGAAATCCTTTCTAATGTCGCCTATATCCCTCTCGGACGGCCAGGTAACAAACTTGGGCACAAGAGACGCAATGGCAAGGGAAACTTTCCTCACAACTCGTGAGGCTGTTGATTTGTCTATCCCTATTGTGTCGCCAGTGATTTGCAGGAAACTTCCACTTGCAAAGAAACGTAGGGCTACCAGAACCTGATAAAATGATTATAAAGAGGCTAATGATAGGTTTGACAAATTTTCAAATATTTCCATAATACTTATATCTACTTTGTTATTTATTTGGCTGCGTTTTCATTATGTCTTACTAAGTAAAGTGTTAATTATTGATATAAGATGTGCATGCTTTAATTAGTTAAAATGTTCTTTTGGCCGGAATCGAACACGCAAAATTGTTCTCTTCAGTGTGCACGACACATTTAGTTTAAGTCATTAGAGTAACTCCCCCTTATGAAATTGATCATGGCTGACAACGCCAAGTTGAAAACGTATCTTTCTGGAGTGAAGTGAAAGGGATCCATGAATTTACATTACTTTCAATTGTGAAATATATTTACAAGGTTGGTATCATTAGGCTGCACATATGACTTTACCAACACAGACCAGTGAGCTGACCCACGTAGAAGTGCGTTTCATTCATTGTAAAGATTGCCGCTATAAATTTGGCGCTATAATTATGTGTTTATTTCAAACTAGCTGAGTTTCTAGTGACGACGTGTTAATTATCAAACATTTACCTGTAGTTCAACACTAAGTGCGTGCGATCTTGAAGATTTGGGCTGTAATTCATCTCTCACAAGATCGCAGATATATCCGATGCTTGCCTTCCCAAAACGGTAGCGTGCCCTTACTTCTTCCTCGCTCATGGATTCGAGGTGTTGAGTTCGTTTTCTGAAAACACGGTCTTTCCTTGTGCGTCCTAAGCGTTCAAACAATATGTTCGCGGCCATGTTTGTTTTTAATGACACGCTAATGATGCCCCAGAACCTTCATTAAGTTAGTGACGCGCTAATGACACCACGACGTCATTAAAACGTTAGTACAACTGGATTTAATGATGCATTAGTTAATGAAGGTTTAATGACACGTTAATGCATCATTAAAGTTTGATACAACCGGGTCCTGAAAAATAGCGTTACCCTTATTTTAAATGATGACGACAAATTCAATTTTTCAGTTTCACAAGCGCTAATTACAACGTCCAGATCTGAAGTTAAAAATTAAAATTAAAAATTAATTACAACCAACTGCATGGGGCTAGCCTGATAGTGTTAATTTGCATCCGTGAAAAGACAATTACGGCGGTCAACATTTGTTGAGCGCGTGTGCTCCGTGCGTGTGCATGTTGCTCAACTGCAGGTCTATTTGACATTCACTTACTTATTCACTCAAATTTTCAACAGACAGATTAGTATATTATTTTAATAAACAGTGTAATCAACAACGTGGATAATAGAGGGGATCGGCTTCAGTTTATTTTCTGAAAGATACAATAATTTCATGACAGAGTTGTCTCCCATTCAAATGTTTGACATCATTAAGAGGGGCTTTGTACAGGGCTTATTGTCTGGTGGTTTTTAATTTGCACGTACTTTTGAAAATCAAAAAGCTTTTAATAGTATGTGTACAATTTGCACACAGACATGAAAGGTGTTTTAGAAAATATAACCTAATTAAACATGTAATAAAAACATTTTGATTTTTTTTCTTGGCCCTACATCAAATAACCCAGAGCTACGCTGCCAAGAGAGAGTTCATTTCACTGACTTGTTGTTTAAAGGAAAGAGTTCAAAGTGAATTCAGCATGCAGATTGTAGGGATTGGATTTCATTCGGGCAAACGTTTATAAAACATGAAACGTTGGCCCTACGATATTTAGCCAGCGTTGGACCGACGGTCAAAATAACGATGGCCCAACGTCAGACTGCTATCTGGGCAGCTACTCTACGCTCGATGAGATTGGCCTAAGGGCTGTGCCATATTTTGCCGACCCCCATCCTCACCCCTCGCCTTTATATAACACTATTTCACAGACACCATGACCATCCCTTCCCCCCACTCCCCACCAAAAAAAACACGTTTTCCCCAATTTTCCTGGAGCACTTTAAAAGTTTACATTCCAAGGTAATCCCTGGGATAATTTTTGCGTTGTGGTCAGACTGGGGGCTAGTCTAAGGGGGGTAACTCTGGCCTGTTTAGCTCGGAAAACGAAGTACTCATTTGTCATATACATTTCGGCGCTGTGATTACCGGCGCATGACACCACTGTCACAGGCTAATTTGCGTATCACGTGAACGGACTTTTCTCCAGTAAACAAACGCGCTTATTCTGTTCTCATGGTCGCGTTCCACAAAGCGGTCGTAACTACTATCAATCTTAGTGAGATACATGTACGTCGATTTTACAATCGTCTTGGTTTCGCTCCATTCGTCGACCTCTGTCGGCATCAAACGCGTTCGTAGCACCAACTTCACAGCAAGCGAGAGCGTTGTCCTGGTTGATGAGATGGCTGTTCACCCTTTAACTAAGAAGATTGTAAAATCTGAGTCATTGAGATGGATTGTAGTAACGATCGCTTTGTGAAACTGGACACTGATTTTATATATATTGAGGACGTTCTTCAATGTTTGTTTGTTGTTTAACGCCAAACTCAGCAATATTCCAGCTATATGACGGCGGTCTGTAAGTAATCGAGTCTGGACCAGACAATCCAGTGATTGACAACATCATTGATCAACGCAATTGGGATCGATGACATGCATCAATCAAGTCAGTGAGCCTGATCGCCCGATCCCGTTAGTCGCCTCTTACGACAAGCATAGTCGCCTTTTACGGCAAGCATGGGTTGTTGAACACAACCCCAACTAATTAATGGCCAATAAATGTTCAGTCTAAATGTGAATCCACATTATCAATATATTTCAAATTAAAAAAACCAGTTGAGACATGTGAGACTGAGATCAGGGTTTAATGCGACGGACAAATGTGCGTGATGTACATGCAGAGAATGGACGCACAGTATTCATTGTATCTACATGGTATAAAGAGCAATGATGGGTGTCTGTTATTTCATCCATCAATCATAACCACAGTCCACACGATCCATTATTCATTCCAGGATCAATATGTACAGTATACTACAACGAAGTTGGCGGGGGATATATAAATGGGTTCCTCCGTCCGTCCTTGCGTGTGTGCTGACCTGTCCCTCTTGGGACTCGTGCGTGTGAGTGGGGTACACATATCTATTATGAGTTTTAGTATTGAAAAAAATTATGTTTTTGTATTGATATGATTTTATGTTACATTTTTAGTAATTGGTAGAATTTTCTTTGCTGTACTGTTTTTATACGTTCAAGGAGCTGAGCATATCGTGGCTTCGGGAGATCTACGACAGATAGACTGCACTTCTTGTTTTAACTGAGCTCAGACTTGGGCATGGTCTCGACATTCCAGTAACAAATGAGCTATGGATTCAAGATGGGCATACCTTAGCATAATGCTTTTTGCGACCGAGTCTCAGGAGTAAGATGGCTACTTTCCTTTCATTTGAGTATGAGTATGGGTTTTTGTCGTCTTGGGACCATGACTTAGCCAAGGTCATCTGAAACGGATTAAGATATAAACAACACTAATAATAAGTGAGTGAGTGAGTGAATGAGTATGGTTTTATGCCGCTTTTAGCAATATTCCAGCAATATCACGGCGGGGGGCACCAGAAATAGGCTTCACACATTGCACCCATGCTGGGAATCGAACCCGGGTCTTCGGCGTGACGAGCGAACGCTTTTAACCACAAGGCTACACGAGCGCCCAACAAATAATGAGAAGTGACCTAGCTGCACATCTCGTTCTTGTTGGCTGTCAGTCAATGTACATTACAATGGGGATTGAAAATTGGGATGCACATCTTATAAGTAATGGCAATTAAGTGATTGTAGACACATACATGTCATGACCACAGGGTAGTTAGTCTTTGTAATTAGATGTTCATTCAGACAAAGGATGTCCCAAATTGGTCGCTATGAGACCTCAATGAGCCGAAACAAAAATACACAGTCAATCCTTATAATATAATTTGACAATGAAAACATGTGTTATCAAAAAACAGTTATATACATCAAAGCAGACAAATATGACGAGATTGATAAACATTCCAGGCGTAGAAATACATAATGTGTCATGACATGAATCAGGTGATTGTTTAATTTATGCACAGAGCTTAACACGCCCACAAAGTCAGTAGCCAATTAACATCAATATCAAACACAGTTCACAGGACCTTTCAATCAAGGCGAGAAGAACTGCAGCTATTATGATTGGAGAATTTAAGGCGGCTGACCTAATCAATGGCCGTCAGATCAACACATTAATTCCCTAAGAACTGGAAGACACAGTTGGAAACAAATTGAGTTAGAAATGAAATAAAACTTGAAGACAGGAAATTTGTGGAACTGAGATTGTGCGATGTCTGACTTTGTGCAGTGAGTGTGAAAGATGGCGGTATTGGTGGTATGTTTGATAATGAAAAACCGCACTGAACGGTTACTAGGTCTGATAACTTCATGATGATACATGTGAGCAGACAGGGAATTCCCCCGACAATCCGTAGTGAGGTAAGTACTCCGCTTCGGTGGGAGTGGCCTAATTTTTTACCTTCATTGGGAAATGAATATGTGCCCAATTTACCTATAGAGAATGTAGGAATTACAATGCAGACAGCGGAAATTCAATTAGTAAGTATTGATGGAATACAATGTACAGGTATAAACCTAGACTAATATCGAGTCTCTGAAATGAACATATCGTACAGAAAACAACAACAACAGTTACATTATCTTTATAAAAATATTATAAAAAGGGGCCAAGAGATCCTCTTCATTTCCTCATACTCCTGTAATCTAGACGTTTAGAAACATTATAGACTTGCATGGGCTATATTTGATAAACTTGTATCAGGGTCTGTAAGACAGACTAGTATGAACCATATTTTCTTGAGACCTGTTTGTTCTATAAGGTTAAATGTTTAACAAATAGATATGTGTCTAGGTAACTGATATATGTGCAACAAACTGTTATGGGCCATTTGTATCTGAGGCCGGTGCAGACATCTGATAATGTCAGTGGCGTGTTCAGGAGGCTCCATGGTCAAGGTCAATATGTGACCAAATATATATTTTTACTTGACCCTCATCCAACGAATATGGGGGAAGTAATCCTGAATTGACCCTTAAACTCTAAAAGCACATTTTAAAGATTTTCAGCTTTCTAAATGAGTTCAGAGATGTAAGAGTTATCTTGAACAATTCATGTTCAAAATGTTTGCCAGACAAGTTGAAAGGAAACATACACAGTAAAACAACTTTTTCTCTGTGGGCTGTAACTTCCGGGTTTAACACTGTTAGCGGGTGACACAGTTAATGTACTAAAGTCGTAGCGACCGAATGGCTGGCAAAACTATGTGAACTATTATGATGGCAATCCAATGTGTCAGGTCAGCATTTTTCGCTACAAGGAGGTCAAACACACTTTGGTGTCCACTGACAGCTGCTATCATTATGGGTGTCCGTCCATTCTGTCCTCTAGTGTTGATATTAGAAGGTGACACAAGTTGAGATACTATAGACTTGTTACCACCCTCACAGGCAAGATGAAGTAAACTATCACCATTGTTGTCCACCAGTGACAGGTCAGCTTGCTTTGACACCAGGAGGTCAAACACACGTTGGTGTCCTTTGACAGCTGCTATCATTATGGGTGGACATCCATGCTGTCCTCTAGTGTTGATATTAGAAGGTGACACAAGTTGAGATACTATAGAATTGTTACCACCCTCACAGGCAAGATGAAGGACACTTTCACCATTGTTGACCACCAGTGACAGGTCAGCTTGCTTTGACACCAGGAGGTCAAACACACTTTGGTGTCCTTTGACAGCTGCTATCATTATGGGTGTCAATCCATTCTGTCCTCTAGTGTTGATATTAGAAGGTGACACAAGTTGAGATACTATAGACTTGTTACCACCCTCACAGGCAAGATGAAGGACACTATCACCATCGTTGTCCACCAGTGACAGGTCAGCTTGCTTTGACACCAGGAGGTCAAACACACTTTGGTGTCCTTTGACAGCTGCTATCATTATGGGTGTCAATCCATTCTGTCTTCTAGTGTTGATATTAGAAGGTGACACAAGTTGAGATACTATAGAATTGTTACCACCCTCACAGGCAAGATGAAGGACACTTTCACCATTGTTGACCACCAGTGACAGGTCAGCTTGCTTTGACACCAGGAGGTCAAACACTCTTTGGTGTCCTTTGACAGCTGCTCTCATTATGGGTGTCAATCCATGCTGTCCTCCAGTGTTGATATTAGAAGGTGACACAAGTTGAGATACTATAGAATTGTTACCACCCGCACAGGCAAGATGAAGTAAACTATCACCATTGTTGTCCACCACTGACAGGTCAGCTTGCTTTGACAACAGGAGGTCAAACACACTTTGGTGTCCTTTGACAGCTGCTATCATTATGGGTGTCCATCCATTCTGTCCTCTAGTATTGATATTAGAAGATGACACAAGATGTTGTACTATAGACGTGTCACCACCCTGACAGGCAAGATGAATTATTTCATTTCCCCTTTTGTCTCTGTTTTGTGTGTGTGATATTGATTGCAATACCTTATAACACTCATGCGATCCCATGTTAGCAGTAACCATGAGTGGAGTCATCCCTTCGTCATCAATAGAATTCATTACAACTTGCTTCACTTCATCATTATAAAGTTTGCTCTTATGTTCTTTCAGAACCTTTAGTGTATTCTTATGTCCTAGCATGCTTGCTATGTGTATAATGTTTGTCTTGTTCTCAATAGTAGTAAGCACATTAGCGCCATGTTCTATCAGATACACAAGTGTTTCAGAACTCCCAAATGCAGCAGCCAGCAAAAGCCATCTGTTCATGGTTAGAATAATGTCTGGATTTTCACTCCTGGGTATAAGCCACTTCAATACTGTCACGTTGTTGTTCATCACACAACTTTCCAGTGATTCATTGATCTCTGTTCGAGTAAATTCTCCTCCAGTTATATTTTCTATTTCTAAGACAATCTTTGTACAGTGTCCAAGAACAGCCCAATTCAAAAAGCACTCCCCCATATCTCTTTTGTGAAACCAACAGTCATCCAGGGATCCAACACGTAGTTTATCAAGCAGTTGAAGAGCCACCTTTTCTTGTCGGAGGATCGGGTGTGTCACTGATTTAGAAAACTGCCCCTTCTTGATTGATTCTGCAAATCGAGTTGTCAGGATATCATAATACTGTTCGGAGACAAATATTAGGTGGAGATGATCATCGATTTTGCTTTCCTCTACTGGTTGTGGCTGCACTCGCTCATATATGAAGTTGTCACTGCAGTGAGTCAGCACAAATGTTGGACTGATGTCATACAATGAACAAGCACAAGCATCATATATGGAAGAATGGGCAAATCCAACAGCATCACCCCGTGTAAAGAATGTTCCTCTAAGACACTTTGCTGCTTCATACATCCCTAAGCGTGACGCTGATGGCATCAACTTTAAAACCTTTCTGACCATGTTGTCCATTTTCTTGTCCTTGCCGTCTGCTTCCAACATGGCCAAATCTAACTTATCCTCACATAATAGCATCAGAACTAATATGGCGGATCGATCAGTTTTTGACCTCAGGAAGCTGTTTAGTTCTAGCCTAAGATAAGACAGTGGTGACTCGAAAATGTTCTTTGTATTTTGGAACATAGACGAAAATTCAAAATATAGTTTACAGGTGAGAGGATATCCAAATATGTTTGACTCTTTCTCCCACGGTTTGAAGTCGGGTCTATCTTTAGAAGTGTCTCTATGCAGATTCCGATGGTGCTCAAATATTGCCTGTTTCTCTGCTTGAGTATATCTGTGTTTCTTTTCAGTTGTTAAATCCACCCGTGTTGGTCCCTGGAACAGAGAGAATCTCTCATATTGTAGCTGGCCAAGTCCATCATGGAAGTTGTAAGTCTTGGATGTGAAGACAACACGAATATCCTTTTTGGGCTGTGGTTTTCGGTCATGATCTCTACTTGCTATATTTTGACCTCTTTTCTCAGCTTCCTGTTTCCTTGGGGATTCACGGTTCTCTGCTGACTTTTTGCAGTGTTTTAAGTGGCGATCAAGCTTATTGAGAAATGTTTTCAGCTGTGAAACATCGGTAGATAATCCAACAGTACCAAACATGTCATCTATGACCAGAAATACTCTAGGTGATGAGCTCAAGAAGTTGTCCAAGTCAAACTGTTCAATCCTGTCCACAAAGGCAAACTTGTACCCTCTTCTCTTATACTGTGAACCCAAGATGAGTGCTGCTGTTGTTTTGCCTTCTCCTGAAGCACCACAGATGGTGACATGGCCAAACTCCTTCAGTTTTTGTTTTATAGTCCCGAAACTCTCCGTTTCAACAAAGATTTCTTCAGCATCACTTATTTGGATGTCAAGGGTAGCTACAAATAAAAGCAATCATTATTATACGGTTTAATTATGACATGATTTGACAGTGGTTATGCTCTGTGGTTTTGAAACCTATTTGACTAAAGCTCCACTATCAGATCCCTATTTCCAGCATAGTTGGCTCTTAAAATTCTTCTCTGAAAGTGTTTGTTTGTATGGTTGCTGTTTAACACCACACTCGGCAATATTCCAGATATATGATGGCAGTCTGTAAATTATCGAGTCTGGACCAGGCAATCAAGTGATTGACATCATGAACATCAATCCATGCAATTGGGTTCGATGACATGCATCAACCAAGTCAGCTAGTCTGACCACCTGATCCCGTTAGTCGCCTCTGACAACAAGCATAGTCACCTTTTACGGCAAGCATGGGATTATGAAGACTAATTATACCCCGGATCTTCATGGGCCACGCGGAGGAAGCTGAACTTTGGCATGTTTGTTTCCTCTGATAATGACATCATATTTTGTGTACATTTAGTGTCAGTTATTAGTCATCATTATTTATCATGTTTATGCAGAAGATATTAGATTATCAATGCTGACAGACCAACACTTGAGGTTTCTTTAAACCTTTTGGGGTGTTTTATGTTTCTTTTTCTGTTTTGCTTTGTTTTGTTTTTTTTCCTGTGGGGCTGTTGACATGGCTTATGTTACTTACCCTCACCAACAGTCCCTGCAGCGGTTGGTCCAGTAAATATGTTCTGCGTCTGGACGAGGGTGATGGCTTTAGGGGCATCGCCTATCAACAACATTTCAAAGACACAAATGGATTACACGGATTAATATTTAACAAACTATCTACAAAACATCACATGGCAAAACCCCATGTAGCCATCCTTCTTGCATGTAGCTTAAAATACTGACCGTTGTTCTTCACTGTCATGATGCCGTGTAGTGCTAGCCCACTGAGATACCATGCCGCAGTTTAACATGAATACCGAGCAGTCCTTGTTTTAGCCCCTTAATGCCGAGCGCCAGCAGGGTAAACACAAGTACCATATTTTAAGGTCTTTTGGTATGACGCGGCCGGGGATCGATCCCGGACCTTCAGCTCTCCGGGTGGACGCTCCGCCACTAGACCACGGAGGCGGTCGTATCAAATTCAAACTTTAATGAAACCAGTATAAGGTGTACAACAAATGTTTCCTTCTCACGCAACGCGTTCAGTTTTCATGTATTGCAACTTCAATATCCCAGTGGAGATTCCAGGTTGCAATTGGCCCTAAGCAATCAATGCTGGTCATAAGAGGCGAATGAATGGATTGGGTAGTCAGGCTTAGGGCCTAGTTGATAGAGTGCCATCATACCCTGACAATTTCAATTGTTGCTCATAATATCAATCACTGGTTTGTCTGAGGTCCAGACTGGAATATTATGTTAAGCAACAAACAAATCTAAATAATTACTGCAATTTAACTGTCGATACGTATGTGTCATATCACAATAAAGTGTATCGTAAAGCCCTAACAATTTTACTATCTTTCCATTATGAATAAGTTCCTGTTTCCTAATATACCAATAATGAAAGGCTCTACTTGATATGGCGAGATCATCGATGCATGTAGTAGTATTTTTTTTGTATCTAATTACACACACCTACTTTAAATACATATCAGTATTGTCACTCCCCAGACAAGAATGTTTCCGAATATCCTAAATATACATCTTACTTCAAAAGAGTAAATATGCCCTCGTAAGCCTTGTCAAATAATAAACGTTACTAAAACCGTAGTACTAAGATTATAATGATGATGTAATTTGCAGTAACATTATTTTATTGAATGGTTTATTTCTCTTTCTACACAATATACATGTGCAAGGTTCAGGTAAATCTATTTTACCATTTTTCTGTCCTTCACATTGGTGCCCAAGTTTGATTTAAGAGCGGATGATATTTAGTCTCCCATTACAAATCAATACAATCACTAAATGATTACTTTTTCAACAGTGGCTAGTCTTTGATATTTAGCTTCATTAATCAGTTATGATTCTACCTTGACATTTTTATCCAGATGTTTCAAATCTACTTAGACCATGATCTTGCTGATTACTTCTGGGCAAAATGCCATATCACCCACACTGCATAGCTGGACCATGTAGAGCACCAGTGCCTGTCAGCCTACATTAGACCACATGGTTTAAATTTATGCTGATGATCAGCGCAGAGAAAGAGGATCAATGAGTTGGGTTTGCTCTTTTTAAACGAAGTGAAAGAAGAGAAGAGAAAGATGGTAGTTATAGGATATGTTCACAATGTGAACGACACATATGAAAAGTTAAAATGTCTATTTACATTACAATAATAATATTGACATATATGTTCTATTCTGCATTAAGTGCTTTCAAAATATGTTTTCATATAAATGGCATATCTTTTAATAGGGCCACAAATGTAAACTTTACTAAACACAGAGGTAAAAGACGCTGGCATTCCAACAGTCACATATGTGTTGAATTTGCTACTTCTAGCTTAAATATTCATAAACAATTGTATGTTAACCTCCAGCCTACAAGATAGTTCTGAATGTGACGCACTCGTTTGTGCCCTCTCTGATATTTTACAAACCGTCAACAAATCATCAACAAAGCCTTGCAAAAATAAATCAAATGTACCAAAATGAATAATGGTATGATGTTGAATGTTAAGAGGCAAAACGTAATGGGGACGAAAAATATCAGGGTTCTAATAAGAAAACAATGTATCAATTAATAATAGGGGTCTTCTTTTGCATCACAGGAAATAAATACAAAGGTTACTCAGAAGAACACAACATGTATATAAACAAACTCAGCTGGAACAACTGGAAACCTTATCAAAACAGGAACCAATTCTGGAAACTATTAAATAATATTAGAATATATTTATCCTGATCTTGAGAATCTAACAAACCACTCCAGGTATATTTACAACACTAAAAAAAGAAATATGCATATGTGAAGTCTTAAAAAACAAATAACAGCAGGCGATGATAACAAGGAATTAACTTTTAAAATCAATATATCGTACATTGATAGAGCAGTTGGTTAAACTGTTTAATGTCTTCGATAGTCGTCACTTCTCACAGAGTTTTGTCATGAACCATGACCGTAGAATATATTTATCATAAAATAAAAACCAGTCTAGATATTTGTACAAAGGCAAGTCTAGCCAGCTCCAGCTAGCTCTATTCCAATGAATTCTTGCATGAGAAGGGTGATAAGACTGACCCAAACAACTACAGGCGTTTTGCACTAAGCAGCTACTTGGGTAAACTATTTGGCACCTTCATGAATGAAAGAATAATGGTACACATGGAAAAAACTGTTTTACAAGAGCACTGTCAGTCGTAATTTTCAACATCAGATAATGGATTTGTTCTTTAAACATTTATGTATTTCACAAAAAGTAAAAAGAAAAGAATATACAGTTGTTTTGTAGACTTTCAAAGGGCATTTGTTTCAGTTGATAGATCACTACTGCTAACTCCTAAAATCTGAGGAAATGTATTAAAATAATATCATAACTATATAATGATATCTCTTATGAAGTTTCACAATCCTTCAACTCCAACATCTGGGTAAGACAAGGATGCATCTTGTCTCCCGCATTATTTAATATATTTCTCAATGATCTACCACTTAATATAAATCTGAAAGTTATAATATAACATTTAATGGTCTAAACACTTGTCATTTGTTGTTTGCTAATGACTCAGAACTTTTTGCCGATTCCAAAGAAAACTACAAGTGAATGAGTTAGTGAGTATGTTTTTAAGCCGCTTTTAGCAATATTCCAGCAATATCACGGCGGGGGACACCAGAAATGGGCTTCACACATACTACCCATGTCGGGAATCGAACCCGGGTCGTCGGCGTGAAGAGCGAACGCTTTAACCACGAGGCTACCCGACAGCCCCAAAACTACAAATATCACTTGATGGTCTAAGTGTATTTGGAGCAACACATAACCTAAAGACAAAAGATGACGAAACAAAATTAATGTTAGTGAAACAAAAATACTAGTTACGGATAGATATAATTACTTAGGAATTACTTTTGAAGCAAATGGTAAACTTAAAAGTAGTGCTAAACCTCTCCTGGAAAAGGCCCAAAGGCCTACTACAAGCTTCTACATTCTCCATAACCTACAGCTCTTACTTGCAAATTATTCAAAATATTAGTCAAGCCAGTAATCCTATATAATAGTGAAATCTGGGGTATAGAATCAATCCTCCTAAACAACTATGATTCATTCATTCATTCATTCTCGAGAAACTGCAGCTCAGATTCAGTAAATCCATGAGTGAAGGATTTGCAAAGCTGATTTACCGCCAACTGGGCGTCGGACAGGTAAGGCCGGCACTCCCATACACGAACAGCAGTCCTAGTGAATAGGTAACACTGCTCATACACTGACATGCATGGTTTGCTCCGTGATGCGTCGGTTTGTCGCCGACAGTTCTCAAGGTTCAATTTCAATGTGTCGTAGTGCTTCCCGCATCTCCAATACAATAAACCTCTCCTGCCTTTAGATTGCCGCTTGTATACATGCAAACAACATCAGGGCGTGGGACGAAATCTCGAATGTGATGCACACAACTTCAGCAAGTTATATATCTGAATTAATATATAAATGTAAGCAGCAATGGCAGGTTCCAAGTGCCGTGCGTACGTACAAACGTACGCAAAAATAGTCGGCCATATTCAAATCCTCAAATGGTTTGCTACTACCAATGCCGTCAATAGTAACGCTCTGCTTGCAGTATGTCGCTCCCATGAAATTCGCGTATGCCAGAGTGTCCCAGGGTGTTCTATATCCATTTTCGACCTCTTCCCTAATACAATTTTCAAATGGTTTGCTTGTACGAACGCCGTCAAAAGTTCGGCACCGCTTGCGCTTACATCGCCGCTACGAAATTGACGAGTGCAAGAGCATCCTTGGGTGTTCTTAACCAATTACAGACCTTGTCCATATTCTAGAAACTTCAAAGTGCACCGCGAAAGGCCTTCATGCGAATACCTAAAATGTCTCCTTTTTGCCAAAAAACCCCAATACAACACGTAGCTGTAAAGGCCTTGGATAAAGTTAGCGCTTGGGGGACAAGATGGCGCCCTATTGGCAAAATGGCTCCCGGTCGGATCTATGTATTATCGATCACGTCGCCTTGACTTGGCTCCGCCATTTTGTTTAAAACAATTGCAAGTGATATGAGAGGTGGAATAGGTCAATAGGAGGGAAATAGAAGGGACATAACTCGAGTCTGTAAATTCCAGCCTAGCATGGCAATGGTGGAAACTTGACTTTTATAGTCAGTTAACGCCCTTGCCTCGGGAAAATGTAAAAAAGAACCTTTGGTGAAAAAACGAATAGGATGGGTATACCAACATAGTCCAATCTTAGAAATAAACATAATAATATAAGTCATTCAGATTTCCTATCACCAGCATTCAAAGAGACAATAAAGTTTAAATTAGACTCTCTCTTCAAAGACACTCTTCAGATGCTGATACAACCAAAGGCCAAGGAAACAACCTTAGGACGTACGGGGTAGTTAAAAATGAAACAAAATTAGAACCTTACCCAAGTTACTGTAAAATAAGGAAATATCGAGTGCACTTTTCTAAACTAAGATTAGGTAACCGTAAATTAACTACAGAAGTTGGAAGACATAAAAGACTACATCAGAGGCTGTGCTCAACATGTTAAACCAATCGTGTGGGTCAAGCAATGGGGAAAACCTTGTTTGTTTGTAGTAGTAACTTGATACATTCTATGGCTAGTTCCATAATAAAAGGTGTTTGTGTAGGGTGGGAGGTGTCACACAAATTACTTGATAACACTTTAACTGCTTCTGTGAGATCCTAAAAGATAGGCACTTTTCTTGCATTTGGCCTAGGACTATGATGACAACATTCCGGCAAAAGAAAATATTTATTCAGATCTTTCATCTTTAATGTTGACAAATAACATGTTGCGGTTCCTACATTTTTACAGCAATGTATTGAAATATACTTAGAGAATGTACTGTACAATTCAGTGCCATCAACATGGTCTTACTATCTGCATCACAATACTTAGACTTCCCATCTGTAGAACCTTATGACATCATAATATTGATGTGTACTTACGAACAAAAATGTAATTTTCTCAAGGGATGTCAGTTAGAATAATGCTTACAGGATATCTGCCTATGAGCTTTGTTATCTCATCTCACGTTGAAGAAGTTCAAGTATTATGAGGAAAATTTAGGTTTGGGTACAAAAGGCTGGCACATGTAGATAAAAATTGATCTGCAATGGTCCTTGAATTTGCTCTTTCAACCTACTGAAAATATTAGGCTCAACCAATGCCACGTCTCTAATCTTTCCCACTATAACCAAATATTTCGCAATTGCTTTGTCATTGTGATGTGGCACAGTGGAAATAAACTGTTTTCAATATTGAGGTTTCAAACTTCGATTCGATACCTGTAAATCCTTTAAATTCAAAACTTCACGCTTTCTATTCCAAATACAACACAATGGAGTCTGCATTATAAGCAGTGCCTCGATGTGGGTAATACTTGTAACTTAATTCCCAGCTTCAGGTCTTTGGTGGGTCATGTTATGTTTACAAATTAGTTTTGGATTGAACCATTTATGAAACTCGGTTCATTTACTTATGCTTTGTAAGAGAACGGTAAACATACCTGAGTTGGCGCTCATCGTATTTTCTTCTGAGGTGATGACCTCAATCATCTGGTCATCCTCCTCCTGTGGCAATGACACACGTGTGACATCACTTGAACTGGCCATCTCAGTCTTAGTTCTTTACACAGCTTCGTCATGCAGGGATGAAGTTGTCATTTTCTGGTCCATCTGAACAAAAATGCAATTTTAAGGAAACACATTAATGCAACTGTTTATGCACTTGGGATGGTCTGGTCTTCCAGGGACTTATCTAAACCTGCCCAGAGATCGATTTTGGACAAAGGTCTGCAGAAAAATTCAGAAAATAGTCTCAAACTGGAATTAAAAACTTCCCATTCATAATTCACACTTTGTAGTGTTTCACTTGTATCATGACCAATAAAGCAGAACATATACGAGTGATCCGACAGGTCAGTCATGTCAATATGACCTCACAAGAACACATGCATCTCCTTGGTTATTGCGTAATCACTGACGATTAAATATGACATGTAAACAACGTACAATTTAAAAGGACATCATTCGGACGTGTATCAACAAGATTGAACAAGATGGTTCCTCTCTTCCCGCCCTTACCAGTTCAATAGAAACTTTGATAAATTCAGTGACACAGCCAGATGAATGTGAAGATGACTGTTCCCACTACTTTTGTCAACCACGTGTGACACCGCACAAACAGTCATAGTCAGGGTATGGTGCCCCACCAATATCTGTACTAGGAAATATATGCCAGACATGGTACCTAATAATGAACCACCTATGTTGAAACACTAAGTCCAAACCTCTTCTCCTTCTCTACGCATCAGGTCTCATACCCGACATTGATATAACCGTTTATTAAGAGGCTATTACGAGTACCTTCCAAAACAATGGCCAATATCCGTGATAGGTTTATGTATAAGATTGTAGTTAAAACTGACCGACCCGTGAAGATCCGGGGTAGATTAAGTCTTCAGCAACCCATGTTTGTCGTACAAGGCGACTATGCTTGTCTTAAGAGGCAACTAACAGGATCGGGTGGCCAGGCTCGCTGACTTGGTTGATGCATGTCATCGATCCCAATTGCGTGGATCGATGCTCATGATGTCAATCACTGAATGGTCTGGTCCAGACTCGATTATTTACAGACCGCCGTCATATAGCTGGAATTTTGCGAAGTGCGGCATTAAACAACAAACAAACAAATAAAACTGACCAATAAAGAAAGATTTATACGGGTACAGGAAAAGTGCCTTGTTCTCTGCATGTACGAAATTTCAAGACTATCTATTTTAAGGGAATAGGGAAAAAATGTTGATGCGAACAATATTTTAAGTTCCAATTGCATACAAATGTTACATTCATCAAGGGCGGAGCCAGCAATTTTTAAAAGGAGGGGTCCAAAACTTGGTTTTCAAAGAAGGGCTGGGTCCCGACTCCCTGGTGGCAAGGAATCCCAACACAATGTTTGTTCTGAAACCAACATCTCAAATCTGCATGTTGCTCCCAATGTAAACTGAATATGTTTCTTCTGATAAAAAAACCAAACATAAACCATTACTTTTTTGAGAGAGCTGGGCGACTCTGTGGCCATCTTTCTGAGCATAATGTTTATCCAGAAAAACCATCATATCAGTCCGACACAGGATACTGCATAGTGACCAAACATACCCCAGAAACAATTTTAACTTCATATACTTTCTTGTGTCAGAGATGTAGAAAATGTAATTGCGACTGTATCTACATTCCATGACCTCGATTTATAATCTTTCAGTCAGTGAAAATAATTGTTTTATTCACATAAGAAAAAGAACATTTGCTCATTAATATAAAATTCAAACTGACATTTAAATATACAACGTATTATATCATACTAATAGTGTAGCAAGAACATCTATACTCACTGTGCATTTGCAGCGGACTACGCCCAGTCCCAGCTTGCTATGATCGGAATGTGGCCAGGCAAGTTTTGTTAATATTTTGTTATGTCAGATTTTCAAATGTAAAGATTTGTGAAACTCACCGCCGATAGTTGAATGTGGCTCGTGTACAGCTCTGGGCAATAATTCACAAGTTCCAGGCACAATGATAAACATCCAACCAGGTCAAGCATTATGACCACCAGCTTGTCTGGAAAGAATCAGATACTGGGATACACAAGGCTGAATCGGTGCAGCTATCCGGTTACTATGAAATGCAGCCAAACAGGTTATATCACCAGCGGCTTCAACGAAACGCACATAGGCAGTGCAGCCATCCGTTACTATCACATGCAGCAAACCAGGTCACACATCGTAAGCACCCCATGTTCAAGTGGCCTACTAGGAACAAAGTATACCCTAAAAATCACCATGATATCATATTTAAAAATCCTTTGGAAATAGAAATGATTATAATATACATGTAAAGGAACATTCACCAAAGAATATTTGAATAAAATTTCATTAACATACGTACATGTCTGAATGATGAGATGTGATGGGTTCACGTGATCCTGATAAAGTACGATGTTTACCTTGGAGGGGAATATTTTTTTTCAAGGAGCGAATAAGTCCCTTACATCCGCTACGAGCAATGTATGCGTCCCTCGTTAGGTTTTATGCCACTGGTCTACCCGGACCCTTGGTAAATCACGTGATGTATTGTTTAATTAAAGTAACAACATGAGTAGCTTATGTTTGCATTTCTTTCTGACTTTATACTTTTAGTAAAGATAAAACATCAGTCAGGTTCGTTTTATACGTGTATCCAAATAGCATTTGCCATTACTCTGGTGACACGAATCCCAATCAGACATTTTGCATCCAGCTCTTGAGACCTACAGAGTATAGCCGTGTACTCATACTCATTGAACATGCTTTCTGCACCTGATGAAATACATCTTTTCGGGGAACGAGTAGTCCACAAGCTGATACATCTGAACACTCATCAGATTTAATGATTTAATTTGGCAGGCTTATGTTAGGGAGCATCCATTTGATTTGAGGGTAGGGTTTAGAACGAGCTTTTTCAAACAAGCTATTTATTTACTGAGCACCATCAAACAATGTATTCATTTTCACTATAAACACAATTGTTTTACGTTTGTGTATTTTTTCACAAAACGAACTATTCATAAGATACATGAAAAGTTTCAGAATATTGTTTCATATTCTTCATGAAGGTTAACCATTAAAATAGTTTTCAATGAAAACATAAATGATTCAAGTAGTTGGCAAACATTATATGAAGTCATAATCTCACCGATAATGTTTTCCAAATGCTGTTGAAATTCACGAAATGTATCCCGTATTCCACACGACCTTCAGAACTTTTACCACCTCAACCCTATACTGTGATATACCACCGAAAATGGTCTTATAGAAATAACCGTCCCCTTTACGGTAAACCATGTTTAAGTTACAGTACCCTGCTTAGATATAATACGTTAGTGTGTACTCTGAAAATAATGTGGGCCCACATCCGGCTGTATGTATGGTGGGACACTCGTTGTACTGACTGTCCTAGATGGGAACAATACCTCACGTATTCCTTGTCCTTGCGTGAATATTGGCTGCTGCTTTGGGAGACTTATTCACGATGTGGGTCATCTGTGTTGAAAAATGTTTTATCATTTTGAAAATTGTTTCGATGTAAACTATTCACTTAGCTTGATTGAATTGGAATGTCGCCCTGACTAGTTTTTTCCAAAATTCCAAGTTTTCTCTTTATGTTGAATGGCTGAGGGAGTGGAATTTCCCTCTGAATAGTTTATCTGAAACACATTCTATCTAGACTGAAGGTGTGACCCGCCAAGCACGCAGACTTGTCTCGTTTGGGGTCAGCCGTGTTGAAAAAAATGTTTCACCATTTTGTAAATTTTCGTTTCTAAATAGCCCTGCGGCATACTATTTCACACATTTACAAATCTCTATATTTTTTAATATAACATGCGAAGGGAAAGATATACATAACAAACAAACAAATGTGTGTTCCATGATAAAAGTAGTTTTATTCAAAGCACGTTTTAAAACTAATATGTTTTAAAGTTGGTTGATGACATGTGTTGTCACAAAAGTTTGAGAGAACAGTGTGTCAGTCACAACTAATAAAGACTAACAACGTCCAACAATAAAAGAAGTGTTTTTCTCCTATTGGTAGTCTTGGTCACTCATTTCACTACCAGGACCCGTGAAGATTCCGGGGTAGAATAGCTCTTCAGCCCATACTTGCCGTAAAAGGCGACTATGCTTGTCGTAAAATGCGACTAACGGGATCGGGTGGTCAAGCTCGCTGACTTGGTTGATACATGTCATCGATCCCAATTGCGTGGATCGATGCTCATAATGTCCATCACTGGATTGTCTGGTCCAGACTCGATTATTTTACAGACCGCCGTCATATAGCTGGAATATTGCTGAGTGCGGCGTTAAACAACAAACAAACAAATAAACAAACATTTCATCACCAGCATTATCAGATTCAGAGTCACTTTCTTCCCCGTCATATCGACATGTCTTTCATGACTGGCTTCATGAGAACTTGAATTTTGTCTTCGATCACTCTTTGATCTGTGGTAGGATCCATGTCACTTCAATCTATCTGGTATAGAACGAAACAACGGTACCTCTGAGAAATAGGCAGTAAATTCGAGGATAGATTTCAATGTATTGACAAACATGTCTTCCCATGCTATTTTCAGTTTCCTATCAGTCCACGGCTCTGATTTTCCTGGCTGTCGATACGTTTTCCGTTTAAGTTTCATGTCCTCTCGATATATATTATACACACGATCCCACACGCGTTGCGGGCCGACGTTGCCATTCATTTCCAGTTGGGTTATGTGCAGTTTGGCCTCTGCCTCCTTTCTAGATAGGCACGTCTTCATTGTCGTCGTCGCTGTCCTCGTCATACCGCGCACGTTTTCTTAACGACTTCCATTTGTTCTCGGGGCACCACGTCCTGATATGATGCTGTAGGTCTTGCTTGTTGCCTTTCAAGACTCCACAATCGGTACAAGCAGTAGCCATGACGTGGGAACTAGTGTCGTCGTCATAAGATTCGCTTGTTATGGCATCAAAAATTATCACTGTTGAAGTTCTGGCTTGTATGAACGTTCGCCTCACGTGCTGATGTAGTGGTGTGATGTTGGTGATAGTTTCCATACATCGGAGTGCTACTTGGTTGAATCAGCGCTTTTACAACACTGTTGTTACGGGTCAAATCGGTTGTGTTGGCGGTTTTGACTGCTTTTTGTTCAGATTCATTGTTAAAATATTAGGTTGTAGTCGTTCCTTTTCACTATTGTAAGGTCTTAGGTCTACAGTTAGATTCCAATAAGGGTGTTGCACTGCTTCGTTATATAATGACATGAAATTTTCTGAATTAAGAGGGGGCACGGGTGGCCCAGTCGTCTAAGGCGCCGCGATTCGCTGTGCAGAGTTGCGTCCCTTGGGCAAGCCAGAAACCTATGATTGTGGGTTTGAATCCTTGTTCGCCCCGATTATGTTTCTAGGTTTGTCAGCACCATACCCATGCTTGTTGGTTACACCGAAGTGGTAAACGTCTGAGACCTGCATCACTTCGGGCTTTCTTCCCACATTAAGCTGACACGCCGTGATGTAACTGGAATACTGTTAAAAGCAGCGTTAAACCAAACTCACTCACTCTGAATTTTGAGGATTAAGGAGTCTGGCAAATAAGTTCACCTGTTGTCTATCGACTTGAGAATTGAATATAGTCACATCATGAGAGTTCAGAGCAATGTCACGTGACTCTTTACCTCTAGGAAACGGGTTTCGCAATAACAGAACATTAATCACATTTTTGTGATGGGAGGTACGTGTAAACAGTTGAGATATGCGTTTATCATCTTTTGTCTCGGACATCAAGTCATCTAAAACAATCATGTTGATCCGGGCATTAAACAAAGGAGGAGGAGGAGGGGTGTGAGGAGGAGTAGGAGGAGGAGGGTGAAGAGACTGATGCATCTCTCTTCTGTGTCTCATCATATTATCATATCTGGAAACGTGTTACCTACATTCTGGACAAGATGTTGACTCCATGTTGACTACTGTGACACTGGGTCTCAGTAAGACGTGTCTGCTATTTAGGATAGTGCTGGTAGTGATAGTGGCAGATGAACAGTTGTCTTATGTCTGAGCATGGCATGGCATCTCAAAATTAATTTCTACACGCAGAGTATGGTACCGCCTACTCTATGATGCCTCACAGATGCTTTTCCCCAATATCATTACGTCTTTTCATCGGATCTTCTGAAGGACAGATTGCATCGTAGATTTTACTTTAAATATAGCTTGTCCTGGGGTTGAATTCACTTTTGTTTGTTTTGTCTTCTACATGGTATTTCTATTCTTCTGTCTAACTTTTTAATTTGCTCGTCTTTTTAGTTTGGCTGTACACTAGTTGCAAATATATCTCAGGACAGATAACTGGAGTTTTACCCATGTCCATCTTAAGGCGTCCTCCCCTCACAACTTCTTCCGCTGAAAATGGTTTGAATAAATGTGTTTTCCATGTTTTATTGTCCGTCGTCATTAGAAAACATGAGTATGTGTATGCTGATTGAATAGTTTATACCTCAATACATGACAGAAACATAGAACTCTTTGATAACAGTTTATTGAATACGATGGGCATTTGAAATAAGGTGGCATCTCGAACACATCCAAACTCGATGTTAAGCTTCCTTAGTCAGTCTTTCTCAGTCAATACAGACATTATGGATCAACAAATATATACTAGCCACATAAAGAAACTGTGCACGGAGAAAATATATTCTGGATTGAAATACAACACAGCAAGAACAAAATGATGCAGACGCTGTAGCAGCTGAATGATCGGACCATAAGAAAATGTCAACGGGACCTGAACAACATCTGTTACGATGACGTCAGAAGATCAAAATGGAGTAGGGGGTCATACGACAAAGTCACAAAGTCAATAACGGGTATGACCACCCTGTGCGGGAATCATAGCAGTGCATCGGCGACGCATGGAGTCCACCAAATTGGCATGGAAGGCCTGGGGAATGACCTGCCATATCCTCCTCAAATCCTGTGCCAAGTCACGGACGTTATCTGGAGGATGTGGAAGACGACGAAGACGGCGCTCCATTTCATCCCACACATGCTCTATTGGGGAGAGATCTGGAGAAATTGCAGGCCATGGCAGTAACATGACATTGTTATGGTGAAGGAAATCCATTGCGACCCTAGCCGTGTGAGGACGAGCGTTGTCCTGTTGAAAAGTCAATCCCGGGCCATGACGTTGCAGGAAAGGAATGACCACAGGCCTCAGAATCTGATCTCTGTAGCCAACACCGGTGAGATTGCTCTGAACATCCACCAAAGGGTTGCGGTGCCTTGCTGTTATCCCACCCAAAATCATCACAGAGCCACCTCCAAAACGATTCCTCTCCACAATACAGTTGCGTGCATAACGTTCTCCCAAACGCCGGTAGACACGTTGGCGCCCGTCACTGAGGGAAATGTTGAACCTCGATTCATCTGTAAAGATAACATTTCTCCACCATATTCGAGGTTGGCGAACACGATTTCGACACCATCTTAGACGGTTGACTCGATGACGGTGTGTCAGGATGGGACGTATGGCAGGGCGTCGTGGTCGAATCCCGTACTGACGTAAACGATTCCTGACAGTGTTGGGATGGATACGGCGCAGTCCAGGAATTGTCTGGGACTTCGTTACTGCCGTTTGGAACCTGTGTCGGAGATGTGTAACTCGAATCCATCTGTCCTGTCTTGGCGTCGTTACTCGGGGACGTCCTGAACGTGGGTGGTCGGCAACGTCATTTGTGTTCTGATAACGCCTCACCAATGCCGATATCGTGTTACGATGGCATTGGAAATGTGTTGCCACCTGTTGTTGCCTCATTCCCGCTCGGATCATTCCAATGGCTTCATGACGCTGTGCAGCTGTCAATCTTGGCATGATTTGCTTGTGATATGCCTGTGTCAGCGCCTGAGAAGTTTTGAATTTTTGAATGACCACAGATCATGCTTTCCAAAGTGACAGCGAATTTTGAGTTGCACATGCTGTGTACAGCTGCACAGGATGCACGTGCAGTAACACATTGCACGTCCATAGGCCCCCATCAATGACGTCATTTCGCATGGCACGTGCATGAGCGTTTGAATATCTCCAATAATTGCTGTGTTCAAACCTATATTTCATATATGGACGGTGTGCCCTTATATCTATATTTTCTCCGTGCACAGTTCCTTAAAGAGGCTAGTATATAAGCAATAATCACAAAACAATCAGACAGTGATCAGAAGAGTATTTTATACATGTAAACACTGTAAAGCGATGATCCGCTTGGTTGCTTCCACATCGTCATGGAACTTGGTCTTAGCATCTACCCACAGGAGTCCGTATCTAAAAATAGACGCCCTCATGCATATTCATGACCACCTCCACATCTTCGGGCTCGCGTGTGGAGATGGTCATGAATATGGATGAGGGCGTCTATTTTTAGATACGGACTCCTGTGATCTACCACACATTGGTCGCTTTCTTGCAACTATTGAGGGGATTGCACAACAACTGTTTCGTTGAGGTGATCTGCTGCTCGCAACATATTTCCACGGGTAAAAGGTGGCCTTTTCAGTGGTCATTCTGTACAATGCAACAAATATTTTCTGACATGATAATGTCTCTGACTTCCATTTATATTTTTCCCTAATAAATTATCTCCACTCCATTTCGATTGAAATACAATGTTCGAGTCATGTGGAGATAGTCCAACACCCCATCGCCTATCATAAGGACTAGCCTCTACAAGAATTCCAGGATAATAATTGATCAGAATGTCTTTTAAATAAGCAGACTGACGATATTTTGCACACACACACAACACACACACAATCACGGGGTGTCAGCTTAATGTGGGAGGAAAGCCTAAAGTAATGTAAGTTTCCGAAGTTTACCACTTTGGTAAACCTCACAAGCATATGTATACTGTTGACAAACCTAGAAACATAATCAGGTAAACCCAGGATTCGAACCCATGATCATATGTTTGTGCGTTGCCAAGGGGTGCAACTCTGCAAAGTTAATTAAGTCGCATAAGACGACTGGGACTCCCACTGATCATCCATAACCATGGACTGGTCACAATGATTGGGACTACTAAACTAACAATGGTCAGGATCCAGAAGTAGACATGGCCTCTGAGAAAAGACGGCTCTCCCTAACTATATGCCAATATAGTGGGGGTAAAAACGACAGATCTGTGAAGATCGGAGTTAGAAAATAGGTCTTCAGCAACCAATGCTTGTCATTAGAGGTAACTAACGGGACCGGGTGTCAGGATCACTGTACTTGGTTGATGCATGTCATCGATCCTTATTGAGTGGATCGATGCTCATGATATCATGATATCAATCACTGGATTGTCTGGTCCGGACATAAGGCTGGAATGTTGCTGAGTGCGGGATTAAACAATGAACAAAACAATCATAAAAATGACATGCTAAAATGTTTGATTGTTGGTCTAAAACCGATTTATTTTATATAAATGCATTCACATAAGATCATTTAAACAATGAAATATCTGATTCATTATCAGTGTTGTTGAGGTAATTGCCAAAATGCCCTTCCAACATTCACTATTTGTATTTCACGTCAAATCCTTTCACACAACATGACTTAAACATTAAACAAAGCTGGTGAAGAAGCAGGACGAGATGTAATGATACACAATTACAGACTTTATGTGAGGTCAACACCTGTCTTTATCGACCAGAAAAAAAGCAATATGGACAACTTCTGGGTAAATCCCATTCTATTTTTAGTAACACAAGTCAATACTACAAATTATCTTACCTGACTTCACATGTGACCAATGAATGTGGCAGAAATATTTGTATTATATAAAAATACAGCTTCTTGTTGCACCATTCAAACCTCAAGAGTAATGTCGTGGTAACATACACAAAAACTCAACACGAGACTTGTTGAGAGCAAATCTCATTAAAATCAGATCTTTGTTCTGGCTTCTGCTTTGTTTAGCGGTAGCGAGAACTAAGGCCTGATTTTAATGAGATTGGTCGAGAGCCATTTGCATTGTCAAAGGAAATGAATAGCAGCCAGATAAAAACATACATTGGTTGATTTGAGTCAACTAAATGAAACAATGGATAGAGCCCTCTTATACAGACAAACAGAATAACAATAAGCCATCATATAATTTTCCTTCATACCATTTAAAAAGTCACCCATATATAATATATAACCCTGTATCACTGTTGTATACTTGTATCGTTTTGTATCAATCCATGACCTACGGATACAAATACTCGTATCGTGGCACCAAAGGTTTGGTGAATTATTACACAGCCAGGCAGTTTGGTGTAGCAAGCACACATAATATTCAACTTTTCATTTGGATAATCAGTTATGGCAGATATATTTAAGCATACAGTTGAGTGAGTGAGTGAGTTGGGTTTAACGCAGCTTTTAACATTATTCCAGTCATATCACAGCGTGTCAGCTTAATGTGGGAGGAAAGCCCGAAGTGATGCAGGTCTCAGACGTTTACCACTTCAATGAAACCCACGAGCACGGGTATGGTGCTGACAGACCTAGAAACATAATCAGGGAGAACCAGGATTCGAACCCACAATCATAGGTTTCTGGCGTGTCCAAGGGACGCAACTCTGCACAGCAAATCACGACTACTGGGCCACCTGTGCCCCCAGTATACAGTTGAGAATCAGCGTTGTGTATCATGGAAAGACAAATATCCCTATCTAAAGTGGAGCAGTATATAAAAGCCCAGTTCCCCAGTAAATCACATAGAATGTGTATAAAATACCTGATACTAAAGTAGGTAGCATACTGCAGTATTCACTGCTACCAATATGATATGATGACATAATCACGGTATGCTGTTGAGGTAAACAGTTTCACAAGTCTCACAATGGCTCCTGCAATACTAAATACTCTCAAACCTCGAAGTGTCAGCATAAACTCAAGGACACCTTAAACATGCTTCATTTCTGTATTGTATCATAGTCAGAGATTTCAAGCACTGTTGATCAGTTTGTTCAACTTTGCAGTACAGAGTGTTGCCAAAATGGACATCCTTTGGAGTGCAATAGCAATACATTTTGCAGCATTGTTAGGCTTAAGCTTAAAAAAATACAAGAATTGGTTCTCAGGCAATGACTTTTGAAAATATAGTGCGGGTGGGTGGTGGTGTTTTATTTCGCTTGTTAAAACTAGTATGTAAACAAAATAAACCTGGGAAAAGGCCTCCCAACATAAACAAGCATACAAACTCCTATTGACCATAGCACAAGATGCGCATTAAAGCAGTGCGATTGTAAAGTAACTGCATGCTATGCTATATTGGACTACAATGTTTTCAAGTTTTAGGATATTTTTTTAATGGAGAAAACAAACATGCAGCAGACTTTATGATGATGCGGGCGTGCCTGAGAACCAAGTAAAAAATTTTAAGCCTTAAAACCATACCATCAAGATATCATGGGGAAGAACAAAGGACCCAAACAAAACATTTATATTGATTCAATAAAACTAACAATGGCTTGAGTCCGTTTCACATGTTCTTCAAACACACAGTTTGTTTGAGAGGCCAGGGAGCTCAACTTCTATATTGATGGAAGCTTTTATACCCGTCAATCAGACAACCCTCTCTGCCATACTTGCCTGGTTTGAGTAAACTGAGCAAACTGAGAGAGATGAGGTGTATCTTCAGGGTTACAATCATGTCATGTGAAGAACCAGGGTAGAATATGTCTTCAGCAAGCCATGCTTGCCGTAACAGGTGACTATGCTTGTCATGAGAGGCGACTAATGGGATCGGCTGGTCAGGCTCTCTGACTTGGTTAATACATGTCATCGATCCAGATTGTGTGGATTGATGCTCATGATATTAATCACTGGATTGTCTGATCCAGACTTGATTATTTACAGACTGCCGTCATATAGCTTGAATATTGCTGAGTGCAGCGTTAAACAACAAACAAATAAATCATGTGATCATGAGTGGTCCTTGCTGGGTGGAGAATGATCATATGGACCTGGTATTCCAAGGTGCAATGTGGAGACTTGGTATTGAAGTATTCATGGAAATGGTTCAATTCAGGGTGGATATGGGTCCATATACATGGTATTTGAGGATGCAGGTTGGACAGTGGTATTTGATGATTCTTGTCAGCGACCAATGGCTCAGTATATGGGTATTTGAAGATGTAGGTAGATTGATATATCCTGAGTATCAAACGGCATTCAGTTGATCAGAGCAAGGATGCAGGTTTGCCAGGATGGAAGCCCCCCGTAGCGTCACTCTTGGCACCAAAAGATTCAAATTTGTGGTCCAGTGGCACACCTGAGAATAAAATCATTCAAAGTTGTAAGTGAGTTCGGTCTAACGCCTCTTTAAACAGTATTTCAGTTACATCACAGCATGTCCGCTTGATGTGGGAGGAAAGCCCAAAGCATGGGTATGGTGCTGAAAACCCTACAAACATTCAATCTAGGGATTCGAACCACGATGATAGATTCCTGGCAAGACTCTGCCGAGCGAATTGTGGAACCTCAGACGAACAACCTGTGCCCCTAGAGGTTTTAACTTTAAACCCCGATACATTGCAAAGAGCACCCCCATCTGAATGTTTATATTCATCATGCAAACCTCCCAAACCTCCCAATGAAGGTAAAAATTCAGAATCCCGCTTTAAAAATCATGGAATGGAAAATGGCCGAGACAACTAAACGTACCCGCCAGGTACTCCAGACTGGGGACCGTGATGTCGCTGTACTGGCTGATGACGCTCCCCCACAGCGTGTTCATCACCTTGTCTGAGGCCCCCTCGGGCCCGTGGTACAGGAAGGGCCCCCATACATCCGAGATCAAGTACTCCATTTCCTCATGGGTCACCAGAGAACTGTGCTGGAAAAGTAAGCAAACTCCGTCAGTTGTTTCATCCTGTCTTATGTCAAAATGCTGCACGCAGAGAAAATTGAAAACAGACACAAATAATTAACAAGTACATCCAATGAGATCCAGAAAATTTGCCCCACCAGGATTCCAGGTTGGAACTGTCCCGTGATTCTCACAATCGATCTGGGCACATGCCAACATCCAACATCAGGTTGGAAATTCCATGTATTACAGTGCCAAAGACACGGTTACAACTGGAATGGTACTGTCAAAATATGTTCCTGGTTCCTGGAGGGCACACTTTGGAATCATAGTTTTTAGCCAAAATGGAAAACAAAGCCATTGATGAATGTACTTTCACAAACGTAAACTGGAGGACCACATGGAACTTAAACCTATAAACATATCCTCATGGACAGCTGAACTCACAAAACAACAAGAAAACAACATTATCACTATTCCCAGCCAGGGGGCACATGAGAATTTTGTTTGTTCATATAATAATGAACAAAAACTTTAAAAAAAAGTCCTACAAAGCCTTAAGAAGAGACAGACCCTTGGGTCACCTTATATCATCAGAAAAAAAGATTTAGCGTGAAATAAATACACAGTAAGGACCCTTTTATGGAAAAAATAACTCTCAGCTAACTTCAGTAGTTTCTGAGAAAACCTGTCCCCACTGCAGACACTATGCACTAAGTAAAAATAACATGGATCAAGGGATGTAACTCTGTAAAAATAATTTACAGGACCAATGTTCAAACAGTCTTGACTAGTATCTCTTAGATAGGCATGTACACTTTCATTCCTGTAACTTCAGTAGTTTATGAGAAAATTGGTCCCCATTTCATGCAGTATGCACTATGCAAGGTCCATAAGTTCCAAACTCATTTTAAATCATGACCAATTACATCAGCGTGTAAAAGTTCCTTTCTTTGACTAAAACAGTTTTTCGAAAAATGTCCCCTTTGAGAAGCGAACAGACGGACGGACGGAATAACTCTGTGGTGGGGGATAATAATGGGTATTCTGACACTGACATGATTTCAGAGGGTTTTATCAATTTCATTGAATGGGAAGAGCCAAGCCCGCTCACGGTGACATGACATTTGCCGACTTCAAAGATGGATCAAAATTATTGTTCAAGGTGGCACCCTTGAGTTCCTAACAAGGTCATTAAAATCAGATATTGGTTCTTGCTACTGCTAAACAATGACCTGAGGACATCCCATTACAGGTCATGTCAGAATGAGCTTCCATCTGATCAATCACAGCCTCTCAGAGCCACATCAGGAAAGTGACAGTCAGAATGTGTTTTCTAATCATGAACCTCGATAAGGCCAACAAGGGGGTATTCCGAACGACAGTTACAGGCTCATTCCATCGAAATCATCATCTTTTTCTCGCTTGAACGGGATAAATATTTGAACAGGAGAGACTTTCCATAGGCCATGGGAAGTACTACCATACAATCTCAGCCATCTATTACACATTCCAGAATTTCATTTGTTCAGTTTTAAAGTTTTGAATCAATATTTTTCAACCGTAGTCTGAAGTAGGAAGTCGCCAGTTTGAAACTAGTGCTGTAAAGCTCGAGAAAACTACTTTCTGACTGGGTAAAGTTCACTTCTTTTTAGCAATAATTATTGGTTGGTCAAAGTTCGCGAAATGTCCTTCTGATGTGACCTGTTGAGGGATGTCCTCAGATCTTTGTTTCGCGGAAGTAAGCAGTAAGATCTGAGTTTAAATGAGATGGATTCCCAAAGGTACATCTGAACATCATTACGAGTGGCCTGTGGCACACCTGAAACACTACATGTCTATCCCTGGATATACAGAAAACATACAGGAACGATATTCACCTCTATCCCTGGATATACAGAAACATACAGGATCTATATTCACAGGATTTATATTCACCTCTATCCCTGGATATACAGAAAACATACAGGATCTATATTCACCTCTATCCTGGATATACAGAAACATACAGGATCTATATTCACAGGATCTATATTCACCTCTATCCCTGGATATACAGAAAACATACAGGATCGATATTCACCTCTATCCCTGGATATACAGAAAACATACAGGATCAATATTCACCTCTATTCCTGGATATACAGAAAACGTACAGTATCTATATTCACCTCTATTCCTGGATATACAGAAAACATACAGGATCTATATTCACCTCTATCCCTGGATATACAGAAAACATACAGCACCTATATTCACCTCTATCCCTGGATATACAGAAAACATACAGGATCTATATTCACCTTTATCCCTGGATATACAGAAAACATACAGGATCTATATTCACCTCTATCCCTGGATATACAGAAAACATACAGCACCTATATTCACCTCTATCCCTGGACATACAGAAAACATACAGGATCTATATTAACCTCTATCCTGGACATACAGAAAACATACAGCACCTATATTCACCTCTATCCCTGGATATACAGAAAACATACAGGATCTATATTCACCTCTATCCTGGACATACAGAAAACATACAGGATCTATATTCACCTCTATTCCTCTTCGCCGTTTCTTTTGTGACGGCTCATCCTCCTGTTGTACAGTTCCATCATCACATGCATACCCTTCCGCGTCCATCTCCTCCAGCAGCAGTACCGTGTCCCAGTCCGCGTACATCTTAGACGGGAAACAATCGGCACAGATGTTGTCTCCAAAATACACAATCTGAAACAAATAAAATATTTATAAAAATGCATGAAAGTCTTCAAAACAAATAAGATACATAAATGAGAGACTTTAATATTACTGTCAGATTGTATCTGTGAATGGTTACCATGGTTATGGAGTTGCACGTAGGAAAAATAAAATGACTTAAGGCAAAAAAAAAGGTTTCTGGCCTCTTGGTATGGCTTAAAGTGATGTGCATCCTCTCATCGCACACACACACAACCAGCACAGACACAACATGGGTCATGCATCGTGTGCAGTTGGTTATTTGTATTTTGGGGAAAGCGTTTAGAATTGTGGTGTGAGGGTGGGAAAATGATGCGGATTGGGACCTGAAACATATTTTTTTCTTCAATTTATAAAATAAAACAAGCACATGGCACAATTAAACTTGAATATTTAAGGAGTCAAATATCATCATCAAACCCCACCTTAAACATATTGTCAAGTCAGGGCTTTGCAGCTCAAGAAATCAAGCTATATATGTAGTTTCATGTGAAATTAAATATTACATTCCAATATATCTATGGAATTTATTGCTGAAAACACTGAAAAAAAATGCCAAATATAATTGAGCGCAACAAATTTCATAAATACTGTCCATATTTTACGCTATATGTATACACACACCTCATGTTGATAACACAGCAGACAGGAAATAAAACAAATAAATACAGCTTCATAACAAATCTCAATGCACTTGCTGTGTGAACGCATTAAGTATCAATTTCCATGAGACATGCATGCACTGGTCCAGTATGTAAAACAGACAGTCCAAGGGAGGTAACTCTCCTTACATCGAGGTCTGGCACATTGAACAGTCTTGCAATATGGTTCAAATGAGTCCCTACTCCCTATCTAAAACAGTACAAGCTTTAGAATATTATACGCATGCAGCCTTACATGATAAAGCAGTGCCTTGAGAAATATACATCTGGCAAAAAGTTAAACATCACCAGAAAATCTTAATCACTGTCGCGAGACTGCAAATCCAACTGGCAAAATAATTTTGGTAAAGACACAAACACCTATGCATTACTAAGATGTGCATGTTTGCTAGTGCTTCTGACGTGCAAAGCATGTGCACAATGCACTTGCAACAAGCCACTCGCAACTTGTTAAAAACACAACTTGTCAAAAACATGAGAACTGGCAACTTGAAATTATTCTGAGCTGCAGTTCTAATCATTATTCAACATGGCTTATAGGAGATTATCTGACAGCAGATGCATAAATGTCCTACAAAGCTGTTGGTCGTAATAAGTAAACAATGGTCATCACGGACAAGGTGAAATTGACCCAGACCAGCAGGTTAGAAGTCAAAGAGGGCGATCAAGCATTCCATGCTGTCAGACAGTCATCACAGAGACTATTTGGAGCGGCGTTGGTCGAGATTGAACCTGAGGACATGGTCAGATGAGAGAAGGGTTTTTTTGCGTTTCATAGACGGGTGTATTCAGGTCAGCAAAGAAACATGAAATACTCGCACAGAAACATTTGACGAAAAGCCCTAATTTGTGATATAACACAAGCACTGCACCGAGCGTGACACAAGCACTGCACCGAGCGTGAGACAAGCACTGCACCGAGTGTGATACAAGCACTGCACCGAGCGTGACACAAGCACTGCACCGAGCGTGATACAAGCACTGCACCAAGTGTGTCACAAGCACTGCACTGAGTGTGTCACAAGCACTGCACCGAGCGTGACACAAGCACTGCGCCGAGTGTGGCACAAGCACTGCACTGAGTGTGGCACAAGCACTGCACCGAGCGTGGCACAAGCACTGCACTGAGTGTGGCACAAGCACTGCACCGAGTGTGGCACAAGCACTGCACCGAGCGTGGCACAAGCACTGCACTGAGTGTGTCACAAGCACTGCACCGAGCGTGGCACAAGCACTGCACTGAGCTTGACACAAGCACTGCACCGAGTGTGGCACAAGCACTGCACCGAGTGTGACACAAGCACTGCACCAAGTGTAACACAAGCACTGCACCGAGCGTGGCACAAGCACTGCACCGAGCGTGACACAAGCACTGCACCGAGCGTGACACAAGCACTGCACCGAGCATGGCACAAGCACTGCACCGAGCGTGACACAAGCACTGCACCGAGCGTGACACAAGCACTGCCTCAAGTGTGACACAGCCTACCACAGGAATGCATCAAAGATCTCACTGGAGGCATGTGAAGGAGGATTGAGGCAGTCATTTGGCACGTGGCAGCTACACTAAGCTACTGATGATCTTGTGACAGTCATGTTGGGCCCACAATGGTCATTCTCAGCAACAACGACAGTTGTGGCTGTTCCATATTTAAGGCACGTGCCAATTTTCTCAATAATACACAATGAAATGCCCATCAATATTATAAATACCACTTCCCAAAATGTTGACATTCCGATTATCGATCTTTTTAGCGATTTTTTTGTCGACAAAGAATTGCTCTTTCAGGAAATGATACATATTCTGGTTTCAGGATTTGGGACTAACACAGTCTTTCAAAGCTTATGGCCAAAATAGCAGGGAGTGCTTCACATTTTTCCAAGTATTTTATTAACAGCAAACCTTTGGATTCTCTTTTCCAGTCAGAGTGGCTATAAACTTTGTCAGCTCTCTTTCGTTGCCACGGTAATAGAAACCACCTTTTACCAGATTCTTTGTTGGTTCCTTTACACTGTGTTTTTCTGTAAAATATCAAACTTATATTTATTTATAGAGTAAAAATATCATTAAACTTATCCTGACTCATACTGATTGCTAATCTCTATTTCTGAAAGGTAGTGGAATGTTTCTGAACTGTGAACCACAGAACACTAAAACAGCTCACCCGAACGCACCCATGGCCTTCGCATGTACACCGGAAACACATGACCAAGCCAGTGTACTCGTCACTCTCATTTTCACCCCCACTGGTTGGGGAAAATTTCCTGTGCTTTTGAAATCCAAGCCATCCTATAAAATTTCACCCTTTTTCATCAAATATTTTGCTTGGATTACTATGACTCCTTTAATTAGTTGATGATACACCTGTCATTTCTTTTGTCCTAGTTCTCTCATAAATTATCAACCCACAACCATCAATCAAACCTGAAGGTATGAGTTTAGGGCTTGGACGAGTCCAGATTTACTACCCGGGTACCCGAGTCCAGATTTACTACCCGGGTACCCGACCCTATCCAGGTACCAACTGTAGGTCTCAAGAGTTGGGAACACAATGTCTAATTGGGAATAGTTTAACTGTAGCCCTGGCAAAAACTGTTTAGATATATGTATGAAACCTGAGACCATATAATATATGCATGCGTACACTGAAGTTTTGTCTTTACTCAAACATATACAAGTCTTTATTTACTTTTCTTATTTCTACATCTTCTCAAGACTGCTGGGGGTGGTCGGGTAGCCTAGTGGTTAAAGCGTTCGCTCATCACGCCGAAGACCCGGGTTCGATTCCCAACATGGATACAAGACAATGTTACGCTTAATTTAGATACTTAGGTTCCGAAATTCGACATAACCAAGTTTGACACGAAGTTCGACTGTACAGGATTTCTTACCTATCCGTTGAAAAGCATGCCCGTCAGTGAAGAAAGATGGTTTTCTTGCATAGAATATGTTGATGTCAAAATACGATTCCCAGTCATCGCTGCAACACAGTAGACAGGAACATGAGTAACAATAAAACAATGTGCAGTGATGGTTGCTAGTTAACAGTGGGATGCCTGGGACAACACTCCCCGGATAATGAACAATCCAAATGTTGTACCTGGGAGCCGAAAGTCAAGGTTTTGAAACCAGGCATCCCATGATGTGTTCAAAGTATTTCATTTCACCTGCTGCAACTGTATTCTAAAATTGCAAAGGAAGGGAAACTTGACTTGTTCATGTCCACTGATTGATAACGTTCAACCAATCACATTTTCAGTTGACATAGTTTGGTGTAGCTACAGGTAAATATTTTGGGAAGTAGGGGGTATGATCATTTCCACAGTATCTTTCATTGGGCACTTTTAAGGACAATGCAACAGGAGGTTTTACCCTAGAATAGTTTCCGGTAGTCAGCAGTTTGTACCCTAGAAAAGTCTCCAGTAGATAGCAGTTCGTACCCTGGAATAGTTTCCAGTAGATAGCAGTTCTTACCCTAGAAAAGTCTCCAGTAGATAGCAGTTCTTACCCTAGAATAGTTTCCAGTAGATAGCAGTTCGTACCCTAGAATAGTTTCCAGTAGATAGCAGTTCGTACCCTAGAATAGTCTCCAGTAGATAGCAGTTCATACCCTAGAATAGTTTCCAGTAGATAGCAGTTCGTACCCTAGAATAGTTTCCAGTAGATATCAGTTCATACCCTAGAATAGTTTCCAGTAGATAGCAGTTCGTACCCTAGAATAGTTTCCAGTAGATAGCAGTTTGTACCCTAGAAAAGTCTCCAGTAGTCAGCAGTTCGTACCCTAGAATAGTTTCCAGTAGTCAGCAGTTCGTACCCTAGAATAGTTTCCAGTAGCCAGCAGTTCGTACCCTAGAATAGTTTCCAGTAGAAAGCAGTTCTTACCCTAGAATAGTTTCCAGTAGAAAGCAAGTCTTACCCTAGAATAGTCTCCAGTAGACAGGAGCCGAAGTCGGAGAAGGAGCTTGTGAGGAGGAAGACACAACGTCCGTCCTGTTTCAGAGACCGCAGCCACTTCTTTATGTCATCGCTACATTTCTCAACATACTTGTTTGGATTTTTCTTTAGAGTTGGGAAAAATCCCCCCGTTTCCACTGGAGAATTGATGAAATGGAGAAATAAGAAATAATGCATTTAAGGCCACAATAACATAATCGTAATTTAGATTTTCATCGAAGTCTTTCTTGGTTGTCAGAGACCAACGATTTAATATTCACGGGAAATAATTACTTGGGTTTTCTTTACCCCATTACAGTTCAATTTATCCAGTATGTCCAGTCAAAAAAGTCTTTTGTTTTGTAAATCCCGATGACAACTTTTCTCCAGCATTTCAGGAACAAATCATGGGTTTTTATCAAATTCCAAGGCTCCCTGAGAAAATTGAATGCTGATGCAATTAAGTTCTTGAACTTCCTGCCAGTATGGTTATGTAATTCCATAAATAGGAAAATTGAGACAGGCCTCAGTTATATATATAAGTGATTCACAACTCATTCATTTCAAATGTGAAAACCAAAAAATAATGTGGGTAAATAAGGATCAGGGGTTATCTCCCTTGGACCACAAGACGCTACAACCACAAGGTAAATACTGATCCCCACAAACTGTTTTCTTCATCATTAATAAGTGTGTACAGTATCTCCTTCCATGTATTTGTTGTGATCAAGATATAAAAAACTCACTTTGCCAGCTTCCTCTTAAGGAAAGTATGATTGCTCACGTTCTTTGGGGCAAGTAAATAATGTTTCTGTGTTCCAATCCACACATTGCAACTGCAGGTTTTGAGACAATTACTAATGTATTATACATGGTAAAAGGGAAATACTCACATGCAAAGTTGTGATATGTATATATATGCACAAGGGAATCTAATACATCCCCCCAGATTAGAGTGTAGTCTATCCTCTTAGTGGATTTTGAGTCCTTTATCTGAAAAAAAATATAAATAATAGTGAGCTACAAATTTTAGAAGTGAGTGAGTTCAATCTCATTAAAATCAGATCTTAGTTCTCGCTATTGCAAAACAAAGATCTGAGGACATCCAATTAAGGATCACGTCAGAACGACCTTTCATCCAACCAATCAGAGCGTTGCTTACCAGATCATGAAAGTGACAGTTGGAATGTGTTTTCTAATCATGCAGCCACGACATATTTAACAGGGGGTATTCCGAACGACAGTTACGGGTTTTATGATCATATCCATACAATCTAGGCCATCTATAAGAAATTCCACAATGTTCTTCTTATCAGTTTCATTTTTTTAAATCGAGAATACGTCAAAATATGTTTCGAAGCTTAGTCGGCAGTTTGAAACTAGTGTCATAAAGCTTGAGAAAGCTGCCTTTTGATTGGCTAATGTCGATTTCTTGTCAGTCATTTCATTGGTCGGTCAAAATTCGCGAATGGTCGTTCTGACGTGACCCATAATGGGATGTCCTCAGATCTTTGTTTAGCAGTGGCGAAAACTAAGATCTGATTTTAATGAGATTGGAGTTAGTTATGTTTAACGCTGCTTTGAACAGTATTCCAGCCTATTGTGGTAGACATTTACCACTTTGGTGAAACCCACGAGCACGGGTACGGTGCTGACAAACTTAGAAATACAAGCAGGGCGAATCCATGATCACTGGTTTGCACAGCGAATTGTGGCACCTTAGACAACTTGGCCACCTGTACCCCTAGTTTTAGTAGTTTTTGTTACTGCAATCTCATTAAAATCAGCTTTTAGTTATTGCTGCTGCTAAACATCGATCTCAGGACATCAAATTACAGCTCACATCAGAATGAACTTTCATCAGACTGACCAGGGCCTTGCTTACCAGATCAGGAATATGACAGTCAGAATGTGACAGTCAGAATGTGACAGTCAGAATGTGACAGTCAGAATGTGAGTTAGAATGTGATTGTCAGAACTTTTCACAAACTTAATCATGTGAATTTAAGGGAACACAAAATTATGGTCTTACCTTTTTCTCTTCAATGTCAATAATTCTCGCCATGGCAACAAGGCCTGGAGTATCAAAGTAGTTCTCAAAGAAACGGAAAGTTGCTGAAAATACAACAAAAACCCAAATGACATAAAGCCAAAACTTCCTCTCCCTTCCACCACTGAAGTTAAAGAATAATAATTCTATGCTCAAGTCTGCTAAACTTTTCATTTAAATGGGAGTATGTGTGACAGTCTCATGCTAATTACCAGCCTTGGTGTTAACATTGATATTAGTGCCTTGTGAGTGAGTGAATGAGTGAGTATGGTTTTACGCCGCTTTTAGCAATATTCCAACAATATCACGGCGGGGGACACCAGAAATGGGCTTCACACATTGTACCCATGTCAGGAATCGAACCCGGGTCTTCGGCGTGACGAGCGAATGCTTTAACCACTAGGCTACCCGACCGCCCCTAGTGCCTTGTGTGTAACTGAGACACTGACTCTGTTTAATACAGATATTCAGTAGCTACTTGATTGATATACAACATGAAGTGAGTGAGTGAGTGAGTGAGTGAGTGAGTGAGTGAGTGAGTGAGTGAGTGAGTGAGTGAGTGAGAGAAAAAGAGAGTGAAAAAGTGAGTGAGTGAGTGCTTTTACCAATATTCAAGCAATGTTACAGTGTGGACACTAGCAATGGGCTTCACACATTGTACATGTTAGGAATCCAACCCACGCCTTCATCATGATGACCGAACACTTCAATCACTAGGCTACTCATCAGCCCTCAGAAAGAGGATTTGACCCAGCAGACCAGCAAAGTGCCATTTGAACAACTTGAATCAAACTTGCTCCTGAGCCTAGTGTCCTTTAACTGGCATCAGGATTGTAAAGAAACATTTCCAATTGTTTTTTGGTTAGTGGCTATAGTCGACTGATTTCTAGATTATCTCCCCTTTGAAAAATCGTCTGTGCATTGCAGGTGACGTGTGTGTGAGCAAAGACGTATATAGTATATACGTCCGTGGTGTTAGTAAATGAGATTTAAACTGTGTAAGTGCCTTGTGGGAGGATGACAGAGGTTATCATGCGAATGTGTTTGGGGATGGTAAATATCCTGCATTAGGAATAAACATTGTATTTAGCAAGCTTTGGTTTATTCCTCTTTATTTATATCTCCAAAGTTGCCAAAACTTATAAAATGCCTAAGTTATGTCACAGTTAGACACTGATTTTCAGTATATTTGACTGTTCTTTTGATAATGATAGCAATTATACCTTTAGTTTATCCAGATTCCTGATGGTTAATTCTGACTCAATCGCCGAATGACAAGGGGACGCCATGTTTGTTTATAAACACTGAAAGTAGTCCCTACGTGACCTTTGATATTTGCATCTCCATCCACATATGACCCCAATGGATATCGTTTTTATCCGTTGGCTTTATCCTGCAGAGAAACCTACCCATCATATGGTAAAACATTTTACGTTGATTGAATTAGGTCAAATATGATGCTATGGAAGCAACAAACATAATACGAACTTGAAGTTGTTGTGAGTGCATGAACAAGGATCATGTCAAGGTGAGGTGAGGTGAAATGGGGTTTAACGTCGCTAGATTATTGCACTTTTGTAGCGACGTGCATGTACGTGTGTGTGTGTGTTTGTGTGGCTGCTTGTACTAGTCCGGACTGATGCCGATTTATAGTGCTAGCTCACTGAGATACCATGCCGCAGTTTAACATGAATACCCCACTCAGACACAATATACTGACTCCAAGCCGACCAGTCCTTGTTTTAGCCCCTTAATACCGAGCGCCAGACAGGGTAACAACAAGTACCATCTTTTAACGTCTTTTGATATGACGCGGTCGGGGATTGAGCCCCGGACCTTCTGCTCTCCGGGTGGACGCTCTTGCACTAGACCACAAAGGCGGTGATCATGTCAAGTCTCACAAATGTTCAAGTGAGTGGGGGGCACGGGTGACCCAGTCGTCCAAGGTGCCGCGATTTGCTGTGCAGAGTTGCGTCCCTGGGACACGCCAGAAACCTATGATTGTGGGTTCAAATCCCGGTTCGCCCCGATTATGTTTCTAGGTTTGTCAGCACCATACCCGAGCTCGTGGGTTTCACCGGAGTGGTAAATGTCTGAGACCTGCATCACTTCGGGCTTTCCTCCCACATTAAGCTGACACGCCGTGATATGACTGGATAATGTTAAAAGCTGCGTTAAACCCAACTCACTCACTCACTCAACTGTATGCTTAAATATATCTGCCATAAATGATTATCCCTATGAAAAGTTGAATAGAATGTGTGCTTGCCAAACCAAACTGCCTGGCTGTGTAACAATTCACCTAACCTTCGGTGCCACGATACGAGTATTTGTATCCGTAGGTCATGGATTGGTACAAAACGATACAAGTATACAACAGTGCATCACTTCGGGCTTTCCTCCCACATTAAGCTGACACGCCGCGATATAACTGGAAGACTGTTAAAAGCGGCGTTAAACCCAACTCACTCACTCACTCAAGTGAGTGAGCCTGTTTCAATGGCATGAGCTTCATGTGGAAGGAAACACCGAAGGGATGCAGGATGTAGATGTCCCTTTGGTGAAACTCACAAGCAGGAAGATAGTCAGACCCTGGATCATAACCCATGCAATATGTGGATCCTGGCACTCTAAAGGGACATAACTATGTAAGGCTGGAGAAAGTGATGATTTATGATTTTTACAACAACAATTGACCCACTGTTAGAGTTTTTAACTGTTTTCTTGACAGTTTCTGCATGTTTCCAAATCTGATCCTCTCCATAGGCTGCCTGTACCTCGGCCGTCTCCAGAGCCCTTGTTCCGTGAGTGGCTCTGAAACAATACGCTTCAATTACAACACTCAATCAGATTACCAAAATAAGACTCTACAGACTCCACAGGAACATCTGTCAAACAGGAACATCAGACTTTTATGACAAGGTTTTAATGTTGATACAAGAAATTGTCTGCAGCAATCTGATTGGTTGGAAAATGTTGCTAAATAGGCCTACAAAAACGACGGGGGATATAGAAACATGCTCCATCCATCACGCTTTGTTTTGCATAACTTATTCATCATTCAATATTTCTTCTTGAAACCTTGTGCTCTCAACATGTGCCTTTTGCTATTCAGGAATTTTTTTAAATATAGATATTTTTTTTCACTCTTTCAAGGCAACAATTTCAACTTTGATTCAATTGGTGCCCCAGATTTAGAGAGAATTTGACCATCGTCAAAATGTCATGACTCAGGCATTGAGCATGTTGAGCAGTGGCAATATGAAAACCTGTAAGTTTTATACTATGAACAGCTTCAATCATGTCGCTATGAAGAATTAGAGATGATCTGTCACAAGTGTACCAACAAGTCTGGAGTGTTGCCACTTTCCAAACGATATCATGCGGGACAAATAATCTGTAATTCAGAGTTGTGAGGAGGTTGTTCTGTGTTTTCTGATAAAATGAAGTGGGTCTCCCAATCACAAGTGGAGATATCAGCCCAGACAATACATCGCTGGAACACAATCTTCCGGCTGATTGCTTTCTACTCAGACCTGGCGACCCTCCCCAATAACAGTTTCCGCCAAGGTGATGATAATGCAAACTAGAACATTTACAAACACTCTAAAACCATAACGTTTCAAGACCGATGTGGGTGAATTTCACTGAAGCAAAAATAACTTATCAATCCATTACACTCTGGAAGTAGTCCGTCAAAATCTGACCTCAGGTCATCACCATGGAGTAGCAATTCATGGCCTGGGATTTCATCCTCCACATGTTTGATTCCAGTTATTTCAAATGGGTTTCCTACCCACACATGTGTAAGAAAAGCTGAATCCACACATTTGTTTTACAACAACTACCTTAGGATCTTGCCATCATCTGCAATCTTGAGAATATGCCCCTTCTCCATGTCCAGGAAGAGGCCCTTACAGCTGAAACAGAGAGAGGAGAACATGAGGAGATGAGCATCAGTAGGCAATGAGGAGATGAACATAAGGAGGGGATGATAAGGAGGCCACAAGTAGATGAACATAAGGAGGGGATCATAAGGAGGCCATGAGGAGATGAACATAAGGAGGGGATAAGGAGGCCATGAGGAGATGAACATAAGGAGGGGATAAGGAGGCCATGAGGAGATGAACATAGGGAGGGGATAAGGAGGCCATGAGGAGATGAACATGAAGAGGGGATAAGGAGGCCATGAGGAGATGAACATAAGGAGGGGATGATAAGGAGGCCATGAGGAGATGAACATAGGGAGGGGATAAGGAGGCCATGAGGAGATGAACATAAGGAGTGGATGATAAGGGGTCATGAGCAGATGAACATAGGGAGGGGGTAAGGAGGCAATGAGGAGATGAACATAAGGGGGGGGGGGGGGGGGGATTATAAGGGGGTCATGAGATGAACATAAGGAGGGGATGATAAGGGGGTCATGAGGAGATGAACATAAGGAGGGGATGATAAGGGGGTCATGAGGAGATGAACATAAGGAGGGGATGATAAAGGGTCATGAGGAGATGAACATAGGGAGTGGATGATAAGGGGTCATGAGGAGATGAACATAGGGAGGGGATAAGGAGGCCATGAGGAGATGAACAAAAGGGGGGAGGGGAATTATAAGGGGGTCATGAGGAGATGAACATGAGGAGGGGATAAGGAGGTCATGAGGAGATGAACATGAGGAGGCCACAAGGAGATGAACATAAGGAGGGGTTGATAAGGAGGCCATGAGGAGATGAACATAGGGGATAAGGAGACCATGAGGTGATGAACATAAGGAGGGGGATGATAAGGAGGCCATGAGGAGATGAACATGAGGAGGCCATGAGGAGATGAACATAAGGAGGGGATGATAAGGAGGCCATGAGGAGATGAACATAGGGGATAAGGAGGCCATGAGCTGATGAACATAAAAAGGGAATGATAGGGAGGCCATGAGGAGATGAACATAAGGAGGGGATTATAAGGAGGCCATGAGGAGATGAACATAAGGAGGGGATAAGAAGGCCATGAGGTGATGAACATAAGGAGGGGATGATAAGGAGGCCATGAGGAGATGAACATAAGGAGGGGATGATAAGGAGGCCATGAGGAGATGAACATAAGGAGAGGATGATAAGGAGGCCATGAGGAGATGAACATAAGGAGGGGATGATAAGGAGGCCATGAGGAGATGAACATAAGGAGGGGATAAGAAGGCCATGAGGTGATGAACATAGGGAGGGGATAAGGAGGCCATGACGTAATGAACATAAGGAGGGGATGATAAGGAGGCCATGAGGAGATGAACATAAGGAGGGGATGATAAGGAGGCCACCAGGAGATGAACATAAGGAGAGGATGATAAGGAGGCCATGAGGAGATAAACATAAGGAGGGGATAAGGAGGCCACCAGGAGATGAACATAAGGAGGGGATGATAAGGAGGCCATGAGGGGATGAACATAAGGAGGGGATGATAAGGAGGCCATGAGGTGATAAACATAAGGAGGGGATGATAAGGAGGCCATGAGGAGATGAACATAAAGAGGGGATGATAAGGAGGCCATGAGGAGATGAACATAAGGAGGGGATGATAAGGAGGCCATGAGGAGATGAACATAAGGAGGGGATAAGGAGGCCATGAGGTGATGAACATAAGGAGGGGATAAGGAGGCCATGAGGAGATGAACATAGGGAGGGGATAAGGAGGCCATGAGGTGATGAACATAAGGAGGGGATAAGGAGGCCATGAGGAGATGAACATAGGGAGGGGATAAGGAGGCCATGAGGAGATGAACATGAAGAGGGGATAAGGAGGCCATGAGGAGATGAACATAAGGAGGGGATGATAAGGAGGCCATGAGGAGATGAACATAAGGAGGGGATGATAAGGAGGCCATGAGGAGATGAACATAGGGAGGGGATAAGGAGGCCATGAGGAGATGAACATAAGGAGTGGATGATAAGGGGTCATGAGGAGATGAACATAGGGAGGGGGTAAGGAGGCAATGAGGAGATGAACATAAGGGGGGGGGGGGGGGGATTATAAGGGGGTCATGAGATGAACATAAGGAGGGGATGATAAGGGGGTCATGAGGAGATGAACATAAGGAGGGGATGATAAGGGGGTCATGAGGAGATGAACATAAGGAGGGGATGATAAAGGGTCATGAGGAGATGAACATAAGGAGTGGATGATAAGGGGTCATGAGGAGATGAACATAGGGAGGGGATAAGGAGGCCATGAGGAGATGAACAAAAGGGGGGAGGGGAATTATAAGGGGGTCATGAGGAGATGAACATGAGGAGGGGATAAGGAGGTCATGAGGAGATGAACATGAGGAGGCCACAAGGAGATGAACATAAGGAGGGGTTGATAAGGAGGCCATGAGGAGATGAACATAGGGGATAAGGAGACCATGAGGTGATGAACATAAGGAGGGGATGATAAGGAGGCCATGAGGAGATGAACATGAGGAGGCCATGAGGAGATGAACATAAGGAGGGGATGATAAGGAGGCCATGAGGAGATGAACATAGGGGATAAGGAGGCCATGAGGTGATGAACATAAGGAGGGGATGATAAGGAGGCCATGAGGAGATGAACATAAAAAGGGAATGATAGGGAGGCCAAGAGGAGATGAACATAAGGAGGGGATGATAAGGAGGCCATGAGGAGATGAACATAAGGAGGGGATAAGAAGGCCATGAGGTGATGAACATAAGGAGGGGATGATAAGGAGGCCATGAGGAGATGAACATAAGGAGGGGATGATAAGGAGGCCATGAGGAGATGAACATAAGGATGGGATAAGAAGGCCATGAGATGATGAACATAGGGAGGGGATAAGGAGGCCATGACGTAATGAACATAAGGAGGGGATGATAAGGAGGCCACCAGGAGATGAACATAAGGAGAGGATGATAAGGAGGCCATGAGGTGATGAACATAAGGAGGGGATAAGGAGGCCATGAGGAGATGAACATAGGGAGGGGATAAGGAGGCCATGAGGTGATGAACATAAGGAGGGGATGATAAGGAGGCCATGAGGAGATGAACATAGGGAGGGGATAAGGAGGCCATGAGGAGATGAACATGAAGAGGGGATAAGAAGGCCATGAGGAGATGAACATAGGGAGGGGATAAGGAGGCCATGACGTAATGAACATAAGGAGGGGATGATAAGGAGGCCACCAGGAGATGAACATAAGGAGAGGATGATAAGGAGGCCATGAGGTGATGAACATAAGGAGGGGATAAGGAGGCCATGAGGAGATGAACATAGGGAGGGGATAAGGAGGCCATGACGTAATGAACATAAGGAGGGGATGATAAGGAGGCCACCAGGAGATGAACATAAGGAGAGGATGATAAGGAGGCCATGAGGAGATAAACATAAGGAGGGGATAAGGAGGCCACCAGGAGATGAACATGAGGAGAGGATGATAAGGAGGCCATGAGGAGATGAACATAAGGAGGGGATAAGGAGGCCACCAGGAGATGAACATAAGGAGGGGATGATAAGGAGGCCATGAGGGGATGAACATAAGGAGGGGATGATAAGGAGGTCATGAGGAGATGAACATAAGGAGGGGATGATAAGGAGGCCATGAGGTGATAAACATAAGGAGGGGATGATAAGGAGGGCATGAGGAGATGAACATAAAGAGGGGATGATAAGGAGGCCATGAGGAGATGAACATAAGGAGGGGATGATAAGGAGGCCACCAGGAGATGAACATAAGGAGGGGATAAGGAGGCCATGAGGTGATGAACATAAGGAGGGGATAAGGAGGCCATGAGGAGATGAACATAGGGAGGGGATAAGGAGGCCATGAGGTGATGAACATAAGGAGGGGATAAGGAGGCCATGAGGAGATGAACATAGGGAGGGGATAAGGAGGCCATGAGGTGATGAACATAGGGAGGGGATAAGGAGGCCATGAGGTGATGAACATAAGGAGGGGATAAGGAGGCCATGATTTGATGAACATAGGGAGGGGATAAGGAGGCCATGAGGTGATGAACATAAGGAGGGGATAAGGAGGCCATGAGGAGATGAACATAGGGGGGATAAGGAGGCCATGAGGAGATGAACATAAGGAGGGGATGAGGAGACCATGAGGAGATGAACATAAGGAGGGGATAAGGAGGCCATGAGGAGATGAACATAAGGAGGGGATAAGGAGGCCATGAGGAGATGAACATAAGGAGGGGATGATAAGGAGGCCACCAGGAGATGAACATAAGGGGGGATTATAAGGGGGCCATGAGGAGATGAACATAGGGAGGGCATAAGGAGGCCATGAGGAGATGAACATAAGGAGGGGATGATAAGAACATGAGAACATAAGAGATAACATGGAGAACATGAGAAAGAAATTTTTTGTTTTGTTTGTTGTTTAATGCCGCACTCAACAACAGCTATATGACGGCGGTCTGTAAATAATCAAGTCTCGACCAGACAATCTAATGATTGACATCATGAGCATCAATCCACTCAACTGGGATACGATAACATGCATCAACCAAGTCAGCGAGCCTCACCACCCAATCCCGTTAGTCGCCTCTTGCGACAAGCATAGTCCTATTCTACCCTGGATCTTCACAGGTCGGAAGAGATATAAGGAGTGAAGGAGAACCTGTTGAGGTAAGGAGATGACCATAAGTAGACTGAAGAGTCGGATACTTGGGACCTATTCTGCTCTCAGTCCTCATCATGTTTACAGGCAGAAACCATGGTTACCTTGGTAAAACAGTATCATATTTCTTTCATTTCTTAAAAAGGAGTCAGTGACAATTTATCATAGCATTGGCAAAATATTTGCCAGTTTGTAATTTTCTGGCAAAGAGACATGAGAAAAAGGCACTACACTGTCAGAGTGTGGCATTGCCCATGTACACCATCCTCCCAAGGCAAGGGTGATAACTGACTATATCAGTCCAGTTTCCAGTAGGCTGGAATTCTGGAGTTACATTTTGGCTGGACTAACGTGTCTTATCAAAATCTCGTAACGAACTAGACACCTGATTCGTAAACAACATGGATTTCAACACCCAGATTCGGTCGGACTGCAGGATTTGCAATGTATGTGTACAGCCAACTGGGCATCAACAGATATTTTGCAAATCTTTTCACGTTTATAATCAAGGTGCTCAATTGATTTGATGCACTTTGCAAGGTAACACCCGTTTTATTACAAAACAGACCTTGATTATCGATCAGATTGTCTTGACTGGGTGCTGCCATTTTGTTTAAAGCAAATGAAAGTGATATGAGGGATGAAATCTTATTGGTCAGTAGGAGGGACAAAGAAGGGACATAACTCTGAATAGCAACTTGTGCTGCTTGGGCTGAGCCTGGAAATTTTCAGCCTTGTTCAATAAGGGGGTGGAGACTGGACTTTTATAGTCAGTTAATTCCCATGTCTTGGGAAGATGTATGTCCTCTAGAACACAGCTGTGACATGCTGAGTAGTGACTTTGATACTCACATAAACTCCTTGTACTTGAACAGGTCAGACTTGATGGAGGCATCGTAGCCTTTCTTATCCACCAAGAAATCTGTTATACACGAGTATGTCAGCTAAAAAAGGATACAAAACTTGTTTAGATGCATTGGGCTGACAAAAGGTACATATTTCTCAACAAGTGAGGATGGCCAGTAGGAGATGGCGGTAGGAATTTTATATAGAAAACAAAAGTGACGCAGCAGGAACACTTTTTATGTTTTTCTCACCACATATACCATTAAACACCACTTGGCACACACTGAACCCGGACGTTTAATACCATGTCAGTTGTCAAGCACCTTATTCTATGCACAACAGAGTACTGCTTCAAATAAACTGGAAAATTTGAAAAATATCTTTAAAAATCCATTTTATTGACACACAGAATTTAAAAGTGATCTGCCAATGCCCCCAAAACAATTCTTTTCTTAGCCGTAAGTAATTTATACCAGTGTTGATTATATTCAAACCTGGGCCATCTATCAATCAACTGATAACAGCAAAATATGTTGGAATATTATTTTGGTGAAAAAAACAGTTGAAAGATTGTACATTTCGTGGTTATACTGACAGCCTGAAATGTTTATATACGACAGATATTTTTCCAGAATTTAATTGCCCATAATACAGGGTGCATATAACACACGAGTGCGTATTATACGTGAATGAATAAGTCTTGTGTACATTGATCAATCGGAAGGGGTTCTAATTAGGATTGTTCACTAGCCAATATGTTAGCAAATATTGTTGTGGGTGCTTATTAGAGCAGTGCACTAATTACATCGAATACAGTATGTAACATGTCTCTGAGGACCAAGGAAATGAATCTAGTCAACAGGTTTTTTAGCATATACATGCAATCAATTTGGAAAACAAAACAAAATCTGCCAATAGAAATCTGAGAAACAGAAAATCGGACAAACTTTTAAAGCGCCATTTTTGTTACTTGACCAGCGTGTATTCTTTCGCTTCCAAAAGCGGTTTCATAGTTTTCAAGGATATTCTTTCTTAAATTTAATATTAAGTCTTTGAATGGCATTTAGAAGTGATACACATAAGGAAGAGAATTTATGGATGTCAACTTCTTTATTATGAAGTTCACCTGATTAAGGAATAAGGAGTAAGCCTATGCTCCGAAACGTTGTGTTTCCTCATCATGCTCATAATAAAGAAGTTGACATCCATAAATTATCTTCCTTAAAGTTGATATTGTATATTATCATCTTTATATGTATAATACAGAATTTTTATGACCCTAAATATTTTTGGTTACTTTTGTTTAGATTTTTTAAGATTTTCAAACACGAAACTATTTTTTTAGTCACAAATACAAGCGGTGGTGAACAGTCCTGTGTGTTAGGAAGGGAGAATTTACGTTTCAAGGTTTTACATTTGTAATGAAATAATTGAATTTTCCTGTAGACAACTACACAAAAAGTATATAATAAATAGGATATTCCATGTGTCGAGTGAAGTATCATGTTTTCTCTCACCTCGTGACAGGGTAAAAGGAGATACGCCAATTGTGAAAATATCTCCTTTCACCCCGACACTTGATGTGAGAAACATATTTCACTCGACACATGAAATATGTTCCCTCTCTCTCTCTCAAAATATGAAAACAGAAAATCTGACAAACTTTAAAAAGACACTCAAAGCCTTTGACAAGATCAATCATGGTCTAAGCTCACTTGAGCAGTTGTTAATTGGAAAATGTGCTTTTCAAATTATTTTATTTAATTTAATATACACACACACACACATTATTGACAATGATTCTACAACCTGATTCATAAAAAATAGGCTTAGTATTACATGTAACCAAACAAGATATCACTTTTTCTTTAGCATGTTTAGTACTAGAAGAGTATGTACGCTATGTTATCTTTATCACATAGAATAAACTACGTTTATAACGAACACGCTTATATCGAACTGACCGATATAACAAACTTATTTTTTAGTCCCGACCATTTATTGTATAAATGCTGTATATATGCTTATAATGAACTACAGATATTACAAACTAAAATTTGTGGTCCCTTCAAGTTCGTTATAACCATAGTTTACTGCAGATACACACATAAATCTAGACATTACATAGATCTAGTGTCAACCACCCCAAATTGATCATGATATTTATATTATCATTGTGAAATGTTCAGAACTGTTCTCAAACTTAGTAAAATATATACAATATATTGGTCACAATTAATATTATAGCAGTCACGCGTTAAACTAGCAAAACCATGATAACCGGCTGATTGTTAGATAACTCATCAAAGCATCACCAGCTAATCAAAGCATCACCAGCAGATCACACATCTCGGTTCTCACATTAAACACTTCCACTAGTTTATACTTGGCCAGGGTGTGGTCCAGATCGAAACCGTAGGCATCGTAATCCGCCAGACAAATAGTACTTGGATGGCCCGAGCTCATGGTGCGTCTCTGTGCTGCCAGCGTCAATATCCGTGCTGCGCTGTGCACGTGTTGTGTATTGTTGTTGATCTGACCTTGTCGCTGACGTGTCGTCACTGATTCATTTGTCCCAAGGGAAAGGCAACAGTGTTTTTTTATCCTACATCTGGATAGACATCGTATAATAAACATTCAAGATTCGCCTTGTTACTGGAACATTTATTTTGTTATTCGAAGTTATATTATACAACAGAACTTCGATCAATATTTGGAAGACAAGATCGTTTTTACCGCAATGTAAGGGAGATAAGTACGCTCTATATAGATGGAGTTAGCCTCTAAAAAAATCCACGGCGTTTCCTTTCATCATTACGTGTGGCTTAAACCGTCAATGTAGTTACATTATCTAAGATAACATTTTATGCCATTGGTATGTTATATGAAATTGCAAGAGATGTTTTACAATTAAGATACAAAAAGAAAAACGATGCTTTGGAGAAGGGTAAGTTTCCGTGGATTTGCCGCCACATTCATTTCACCATGCTAAAACAATTGACAATTTATAAATGCCGATATAATTTTGCAAGTAAAGAAAGCTATATAAACACAGATATACTGTTCCTAAGCTTTATTGCTGTAATATATAGAAAATATATTTTATGGAACTAGAAATACTACAGCGCGTAACAGTATAACTTATGAATATGATACTTTATTTATAAGGATATCATTCAAATCAAGTAACAATCAGCATCTTAAATACCTTTTAGGCATGGGGCTACGTTAGTGTCCAACCTTGGTCTGTGACTGTGTCTGTGAAGGATACATCACGCACGAGGCTTTTCAGAGACATTCATTTTTAAAATGTGAGGTGAGGTGAAATGGGATTTAACGTCGCGTCCAAGATTATTGCAATTATATAGCGACGCGCATGCACGTGTGTGTGTACTGATGTCTATTTATAGTGCTAGCTCACTGAGATACCATGCCGCAGTTTAACATGAATACCCTACTCAGACACAGTATACTGACTCCGAGCCGACCAGACCTTGTTTTAGCCCCTTATGCCGAGCGCCAGACAGGGTAACAACAAGTAGGCAGTGCGTATAGGGTAGCCATGTAGTTAGACCCGCTGAAGACAAAAACAAGATTCCCAAACAACAACTGATTACGAACAAGTTATTTTAAGTTTGGATGGGAGTTTTTGCTAGACAATCTTTTATCCGACATATTTTCATGTGTGATATAAATTGTATCTGATTATTACGTACACACATTGACGAGAGCATATGAATATTACTTGTGCTGTGCTAAAAATGAACAGGGGAAATAAACACGCAATGGTTCAACTGGAAATATGTGTGACTTATTAAAAAAAGCTTTGTGTGGTTGTCTAAATACCTTCATGTTACATAAAGATGAACAGTCTCTACCAGATTAGGTCTTCAGCAACCCATGTTTGTCGTAAAAGGCGACTATGCTTGTCGTAAGAGGCGACTAACGGGATCGGGTGGTCAGGCCCGCCGTCTTGGTCGATGCATGTCATCGTATCTCAATTGAGTGGATCGATGCTCATGATATTAATCACTAGATTGTCTGGTATTGACTCGATTATTTACAGACCGCCTTCATATAGCTGGAACATTGCTGAGTGCGGCGTTAAACAACAAACCAACCAACCACACACCTCGTGACTCGATGTTGATACTGTCTCATGCAATACCAGGTACAGAAGCCTATTGACTCGGCCCTCTGCTGTCTGTAGGTTGAATTCCCCGCCGCGGATGTTCAATTGCATTGATTTGTTTATGTTTGATCAAATCACGTGGCGAGCTATAAATAGCACGGCCTCAGAAAGACAACATAGAGCAACACACGCACAGACAGCGACATCACAGACAGCTTGCCATTTTGACGTGAAAACAGGAAAAAATTGTGCTACTAAGGCTTGAAATGTTGTTACCTCCAGAGGTAGACGTATCTGTTTTGGAAGGAGACTTCTCATTAACCAGCTTTGACGTTTTGGACTTCGTCGAATCACAGCAGGTAAAAACATGAAGAAAAGTTTCGTAAAGAAAATAACAACCAAAGCTATTTAATCAAGATGTTAACAGCATGTACTTGGTGTTGACCTAGTTGCTTTGTGTTTCTAGTGTTATTATTTGTTGCGCAACATATAAACCATTGCACGAACCTCTTCGTTTTTAGTCTGGACTTGTCGACACATTTCGAATCACGAGTGAATCGCCACCTACAAGCTAGTGATTAACCCATTCACATTTGTTGGTGCCAAGTTGTCTTCGTTTCACGTGTCTGTCATAATGTCTGTTTAGTCAAAATTCTTTCAGGTTATAAGACATATATGCACGTGATATAGACGGTAGATAATATTTGAATGCATGCCTAGTATTTTGATTATTTTGATTGTGCATCTTCTCTTTTCGGTGGGGTTTGGTCAATACTGGCTACATTTGAAAGAACGAATTTAAATTTCCTTATATGATCAGACGACCTCCCTCAGCCCCAGTAGTTTTCCTGAAAAATTTCCAGGAAATGATCAATCCTGGTGGGATTTTCCCAAGAAGCTAAAAATATCCCTGACGTTGCCGTGAACATTCGTGGCTGCTGGTATTATTCCGAAGCAGCCCTCCATGTTCACGGAAAGTTGCGAGTGGTTTAGACGAGTTGACTGGGCTGGTGTACATCGATCGGCTGAACGCGAATATAGCTGAGCGTACTAGCAAAGAACTAGTAGATCCAGTGTATTGGCCGAGCAGCGCCTGTCCAGATTTGTTAAAGTCTCGATGATTCGTAAATGTTTTGTTGACTCTCCGTTTCTATATTCTAAAGAAAGAGTGTAATTTCACCTTGGGCTTAATATGTTTACCCCATTAACCACTCGGGTAATCTCGGCATATTCCGCCACCCACTAGCTCATTCGTGACCAACTCGTGTTATTCCGGGACAAGCCGAATTGCAGGTTACGGAAACGGGCGAGTGGTGACGAATGTCGAGTCTTCTTGCAGGTTACGGAAAGGGGCGAGTGTTGGCGAATGGCGGGCGGTAGACAGCATCATAACCTGCCTTCGCCATGGGGGTACATGATACACAGTCGCCTGAGTAACCGCCTGGAACCCTTAGAACCGTATGAGGATTATGAGGATTATTATTTAATTAGGGGCGTATAATCACTATTTAGAATAATTATATATATATATATATACCTTAAAGGATTATTTATTTATTTATTTATTTACTTATTTAATCACTATTATTTCCAGCTGTCTCCTTGTTCAAACACTTCCGTCAACACGTTCCTAAGAGATCTCATCCAACAAGGGGTGTCGCAGCCAACAGTCGTCAGCAACAAGGAAGAGTCTGAGACGCAGGAAGAAGTACCTAAACAACAAACCAATGGGAGAGTGCCACGTCATAGAAAAAATTCCCACATCAAAGCTGAGAAAAAAAGACGGAAGAAAATCCACGTGAGCAATAATTATCAAAGTAGACACGTTTTATGTTATCCATAAATTGTGTCTACTTTGTCATCCGTCAACTTCTAAGTAATGCCTGCCAAACAACAAATAATTATTAATATAAGATACATTTAAAAGAATGTGTTCATTTAAATCCGATAATGTAGCAACAAAATGGTCGTGCACAGATATTATGTCACTGTAACAGAAAGTGTGTTGTACACCCAAAATTGTAGTTCTGTACACCAATAAAAATGACACTGTGACGTAATGCAGTTGCATTTGAAGAGATATCTCCTTTCCCCCGGCACTCGATGAGAGAAACATGGTATTTCTGATTCACTCGACACATGAAATATCCTCTGTTATCGCCATGTTAACAGAAGTGAAACGAAGGTGTCACGCGCTGAGAAGGAGCTTGGCGGCGTCAGACAAAAAGGGAGGTAACTCTAATATCACTAAACACGAAGTATATATCGTGAATACAACAGTGTTGGTAGATGATTCTACAATAGGTTATAGATTCTAAACATCATTGGTTTGTTCTCTCTAGGAACAACTCCGCTCGCTTCATGATTGCGTTCCGGCACTGGCGCCGAGCAAGAATGATAAGAGGCTAAGTGAACTCGAATCCCTTGAAGAAAGTAAGTAAACTAAACAATGTGACTGTTAATTCTTGCATGTTTACTCGGCGCATGTTTGGTGTTGTGTGCATGTACAATTTCTAGATGGCCAATACCATTATTGTTGGGCATGTAGATCTTCTTTGTACATAACATGTCGCCATATTATTCCAATGTCATATATTCATGGTGTCGTCCCGAATATTTTAGCTGGAAAATATATTAAAGAGAGGAAGGTCCGCCATGACACTCGCAAGGACGAGATAGAGAAACTAAAACGGGAAAGAGAAAGTCTGAAAATGGAACTGAAGTGAGTATAGGTATTTGTCAGAAATAACCTTGCATGCCTTCTTTCATGCACCACAAATGACAAGTACACCTTTCAAAAAAGAAAACTCATCACTCAAACTGAGAACTCTATTGCAGTATATGTTTACTCACGCACATTCAGATAAGAGTTGTTTCCCTTGTTTTTCTCATCTCAAACATTTTTGTCCTTTTTATTAGCTGTTTTATGAGATGGGTGACATGTGTCCACTACAAACAGCTGCAGCCAGAATTGTCATAATGATTCAGTGCTAAGATATATCACACCGTTAAGGTATTTCATTCCTATATAGATATGTTGCCGCAAAGTGTTTTTACATTGGAACCACAATCTATTGTATTGATATTCATCATAGACTGTCAGTTTGTTTGGGTTATTTTGGACTTGCCCATAGAGCAAATCATTTCACACATTCTCCAACCACATGAAGCTACATACAAATACATATATGCCGTGTAGGCTTTGTTAATCGCCTGGCCTGCCTGGCGCGTTATACCGTACATTAGTTATGTCTTAGGTGGGGAGGGGCGGTCGGGTAGCCTAGTGGTTAAAGCGTTCGCTCGTCACGCCGAAGACCCGGGTTCGATTCCCGACATGGGTACAATGTGTGAAGCCCATTTCTGGTGTCGCCCGCCGTGATATTGCTGGAATATTGCTAAAAGCGGCGTAAAACAATACTCACTCACTCACTCTCTAGTGGGGAATAAATAAGGAAATGTTGCCTCATAGAAGCCGATTCTTATAATTTACGGACGAATATCAATGAACCCAGACCGTGTACCCCGTTACCATTCCTTTCCGCGTCAGGGTCTGCCGACCCTCCTTTGGATGTCAGCTTTCTCATACGATTCTGATTCATTTCTTAATAGTTACTACCAAGATTCAGAAATTTCGATTTATCAAACGAAAACCTACACAGGACACAGATATTCCTTCAATGGTCCTCCCGTTGAGAGGGTGCTCAGAAACGACTGTATCATCAACTATACAATGGCGCGGCCTGGTTCACAATAAGTTTAGTTCGTTTTCGAGATCTAGAACATCAGTCATGATGGTCTAAGGTGGTCATACCAGAGAAAAAGATATAAATGTAATGAGACTGGAAGGAATATTATGGTTGTCACCCGCATCCATTTGTTTTACACTGTCTCGGTCATAGTCATTCGTGACAAACTCGTGTTATTCCGGGACAACCCGAATAGCGACTCGTGCCCATTTTTGCGACCGGGTTTCCGTCTTAGCGCAAACGGGCATACCTAAAACAATTGTAAACTCGTCGCGTAATGGTTAACATACATTTCCCCATATATTATATATGTTTCAGATGCAATTTAAAGCACATCTGGACATGCGGAATTATACAGTATGATTGAGCATATTTAACTGTGTCTTGGGTATATTTTTAGATGCAAGACATATGTCAAATCAAAAAGTACTTCTGAGGGATTCTTTGACGAAGAACTTGAAATCATACGCGCATTCTGATTGGTTTGTCGTATTTTCGCACATAACATTCATCGATAGGGGGACGAGTCTTCTTGCAGGTTACGGAAAGGGGCGAATGGTGACGAATGGGTTATAGTTTACAGCTACTTGTGACGCTGCCACGTCATCGGTGCGCTGTCTCTCGACATTTTACATCAGCAATGTATACCACGTGTACAGGGGTTGAAAAATTATTAAAAATGTTACTTGACCAAGGGCAAGTATGACCAACATTCTCACTTGCCCTATTTTAAAATGTACTAGCCCAAAATCAAGCTAATAAATTCAGTAAAATGTTACTGCTGCAGAACTGAGAATAAAATTATGAAATTTGAACATCCATCAATAAACGTTCTCTTACGATTGCAAGCGTGTATGTTTGGGTACTTGGAACAAATGGTGCACTTCATGACTTTCGCTGTGTCATCATACGCAACCCAAGGAAACTGGTCTTTTCCACCCAGCGATGAATGTTCGTTTTCGTTTACATTCGTCATACTTTTTATTCTTTGCCGACATACAACTTTCGGAATTTCCCTCTGCCTTCCTTTTAAGTTCGTCCCCACCGCCAAAGAAACTTAAAATAGACCGCTGAGACATGATCGGCCATGTGCGGTACTGGCAATATAAATTGTTATTGCAGATACCCCTCTGGGTGCTAATGAGGCAAAGGGAGGCTACTCTGTCCTTTACTAGCTTACTCATTTGAAACAACAGATTTACTTACAGTGATCCCTCGCTATTGCACTCTTCAATATAGCGCTAACTCGGTTATGGTGTGCGGTAACACATGGTTCCCAAAACTTATATACACTTTTAGTAAACTCAAGTCACTGACACGATGTCATTTCCCCATCGCAAAATCATTACCACCTGTACGCAACACCGGAAATACCAATCAACAAATTCCGCAATTAAATCCTATTATTACTATCTGGTTATAAAAAAAACACGATTGTACCTTGACATATGTTTGTAGCATACTTTATTAATTTTATTTAAAATTTCATTCAATACAGTTTAGATCAATTTTGCCGAAATCGTGCGTAAAGGGGTCGATAGATCGCACAACTCGCTGTTATTTACAGCAACCACGGTCAGCGCCTCGAATGAACTTTAGTTGACAACGAAAAGAAACACATATTAAATAAATGCCATACTTTCACTCGTTAAAAGTTCCGTTTGTTGTAGTTCGACAAAATTATATTTCATCAAAGCTCGGCCTAACGAAGCATCTAAAGTCGGAAAATGTTTCAACCTCGCGTTACAATTTCCAAGAAATTCCATTTCCAAGAAACTTGTGCCATATATGGAAGTGTTAACAATGAAACAAGCCTGGTTCTCGTTGTTGACCTGCCTGACATCGAAATGTATTAATCCCATTGATTGACTGGCGTAGCTGTATGCAAATTACATTGTCAGTCTGGGACACTAACAAAATATTAGCCAATCAAAAAACCGTAACATGATCACATGATTACATTCGCGTGAAACTTGACCCAGTTCATTTTGTGTGCTCTACTTGTCCACGGGCATGCTAGAAAACGTATATTACACGCCCGACATCTAAACCTTACTTGGCACGGGCGTCGGGCAATGGTATTTTTCAACCCCTGCGGGCCGTGTATTAATTTGTTGCACCTAATGTTTTCTTGTCATTCCGTGTATCTTTACAATTCTTTCAGCACATTCCAAGCTGCGCTACCATCCTCGGGGTTAAAGGACACCCGTCAAGATTCGATTCTAGATCGTTACGACGCTTACACCCGCCGGAAGTTCACAGAGACGTGGCGCTATGGCCTTGTATCCTTATAGGGCCGGTGATGTTTTTAGCCGGGCAGTGTTTTTTCTTCAAAATACGATAACCATGTCGTGCAGAGATAATTCTGTGGTTTTCTGTTGTTGTTTGTTTTTAACGCCGCATTCAGCAATATTCCAGCTATATGACGGTGGTCTGTAAATAATCGTGTCTGGAGCAGACAATCCAGTGGTTAACATCATGGGTTGCTGAAGACCTATTCTAACCCGGATCTTCATGGGTCTGAAATTATTCTGAATCTAAGTCAGGGATCATGTTCAGTTAGGGATTATGAATATGTTTTGTAGTGAAGACTGACAATGTCCTAAAAAAATCCCCAAACCATGATCCTTAACCTTTTTTTGTTCAGATGGAATAAAACTACTAAAATACGAAGCTCCAATATTGTATTAGTGTTGGTAGTGGGGAGGTTCAACAGAATGCTTTCTATGTTTACCTTAGGTCATGAAAAAGAAACAACAAAAACAATACATGATACATCAATATGTGTTTTACTCTTTTGGGTCCATTTTCCCGAGGCAAGTGAGTTAACTGACTTTAAAAGTTCAGTTTCCACCCTTGCCGAACTAGGCTGGAATTCCTTGGCTCGATCGTAGCGCCACCAGTGGCTATTACGAGTAATGCCTTTTCTCTGTCTCTCCTATTGACCAATCAGATTCAACCTCTCGTATCACTTGCATTTGGTCAACAAAACGGTGGCGCCAAGTCAAGAGGATCTGATCGATAATCAAGATCTATATTGTGATCAAACGAGTCTTACATCGCGAAGTGCATCAAATCACGTGAGCACCTTGATTAAAAACATGAAAAGATATAGAAAATATCTGTTGACAACGAGTTAGCGGTGCACATGCTTTGCAAATCCTGCAGTCGACCGAAATCTGCATGACACTTTACGAACCGGATTTCGATTTCGGTGCGCGATTTTGATTGGACTATGCATAGACTCGTTAGTCCAGCCAAAATGTCACTCCGTAATCCCAGCCTAGTTCGGCAAGGATGGAAACTGGACTTTTATAGTCAGTTAACTCACTTGCCTCGGGAAGATGTCGACTGGACAACTCGATGAGTAGCGTCTTGTGAAAAAAAAATCTACTTCAATGCTGTTTCGGGCAGCTTCTAATTTGCATATATTCATATGCTGCACCAAGTGAGTCAGAGTCACATGTTGCACGACCTCATAACACTGATACATGTCTAATACAATAAGCCAGAGCATCATTCATTGCAGTAGAGTGTATGTATGTGTGATGCCTGCGTTCGGTCTGTAAGTAAAGATTTGTAAAGAAATACTCGTATGCAGGCTGAAAAGGCTACACTGGGTAATTACCTAGTATTGTTTTACAGCTTGGTTATCGAATTTCTCCATGCGTGTTTGTACGCAAGGTACGTAGTGGTGATTAAATATGCGTATTATACGTAAATACGCAACGTATCGGGAGCTGTGAGTGTACATCCATGATATTGTGGGACATGTCTCCTTAACAGCATTGCAGTATGACCGGATTGTAGGCAGGAAGCTTGCAAAATCATATGCCGAGCAGACAAACACCAGCACGGCGGAAACCTACATACAGAGCCTGATGAAGTGGACTGGGTCCTGTCTCACGCTCACCAATCTCAGACCAGGTGATACCATCCTTGTGTACACAGGATATATTCTCCAACCTCTATTACAAATAATTCCTTTTTTTGTCATAATATCCCATTCGTCAAATTCGCCACAATTCGCAGTGCAGAGTTGCGTCTTTTGGGCGAACACGAAACCAATGATGGTGGCTAGAGTCCCAGATTCTACCGAGTCAGCCCCATACTATGCCAGTGGGGTTCACGAACGTAATAAGCGTTTAAGACCTGCATCCTACAGCATGATATAGCCTAAGCGCTGTTCAAACCAGCGTTAAAGCAAACCCATTTATTCACCCACTTACACACCTTGTGTCCCAGGCGACACCCTGGAACGTGGTTATTTCCAGAAACAGCCATGAATTAGAGTTACGTCCCTTGAAATGAGGCCCCCCCCCCCCCCCCCCCCCCCCCCCCCCCACACACACACACACACACACACACACCCACACACTCCTACAAGCACCCTTGCTCATTTTGCGAGCGATTTTGCGCAATAGTGGGGAAGATATTTGCAAAACAGTGGGTTAAATAATTGTTTTCTGTTCACTTGTAATAATTCCCCGCATAACCTGGTCTGTAGTCACGGATAAAAAATACACCAGTATTCGTTTTGCTGAAGCACATGCATTTGCACAAGTTAAACTGGCCTTTCAGTCACGCGCCCATTAATAACAAACGAGGCAACATTGCACTGGGGCAACAATTTATGTACTTATGGCACTGTATTGCAGCGGTCATCACCGGCCTCCGGAACGTGTCCACTAGCACAAGCATTCTGGTCAGCCCAACCGCTGTCAAGCAAGAGCTGGCCCTCTCCATGCAACAGCATGTGTCCACTACATTACCGGCGACTGCAACTACGTCTGTGGTGACTACAGCTGCACCCACGGCTGCAACTACAACTACAACAAGCACGTCAGCTTCGTATTCTCCATCGTCATGACCTAGGTTTGTGGAGGCTGGGCGTGGCTCACTCACCTCCATGAGGGGATCGGAGGCGTTCAAGAATATTTCACTTACTTGGTGTGTGTGTTTGGCTGCTTGTACCAGTCCGGGCGTATTTCCACTGAGATTCCATGCCACAGTTTAACTTGCATACCCCACTCAGACGACCGTCTCTGTGGTTAAATGGCAGAGTGTTCACCGGGTGAGCGGAAGGTCCGGGATTGGATCCCCGGTCGCGTCATAAAAAAAGACGTTAAAAGATGGTACTTGTTGTTACCCTGCCTGGCGCTCGGCATTAGAGGGCTAAAACAAGGACTTGACAGCTCGGAGTCAGTATAGTGTGTCTGAGTGGGTATTCATGTTAAACTGCCGCATGGTATCTCAGTGGTCTAGCACTATAAATAGGCATTAGTCCGGACTAGTATACAAGCAGCCACACACACACACGTGCATGTACGTCGTTATTTAAATGCAATAATCTTGGACGGGACGTTAAATTCCATTTCACCTCACCTCATCCACTGAGACACAGACATTAGGAGCCGGCCACTATACGTGTTTCAGCCCCATCAAGCCGAAAGCCGGCAGGATAACATCTAGGACAACCATTTGGTATGATGCGGCCGGGGATGGAACCACTGACCTTCCGCACTCCGAGCAGATGCTCCACCCACGAGACCACGGAGGCGGTCACTTCAGGACAATCTATGTGGACTGTCGATATCTGGGACTGAAGGAACAATTCAAATATTACCCATATGGGCACGAATGAAGGTGATATTATTTTCAGTAACTCCCATTCTGCACACAAATGTTGTGACGTAACGTGAACGGGTCCGTGCAATAAGCTGGGCTCCGTCTCTTCATATCACAAATTGACGACGAGCATTGAGAGACTGGAAGCAGCGACCTTTAAAAGAAGGGTTCTCAAGTCTCCACGCAAAATCGTATTGGTGTAAAAAGTCCGATTTTAATTAGATTGACTCAATTTGACAATCAGGAATCCCACATTTTTTAAATACTTTCTCCGAAACATGACAATGGGTAATTTCAAGTATAACCCTCAGCTGGAAATATTTTCTGGAATTTGGGCCACCAAGAGCCCACATAATATATCTGTAAATGCTGGCTAAGTTTTTCTATGTCAGGCCTGTCATTATGTTTGCTGTATCATGAAATTCTACCATCGTTTCCTTCCATCATATCGACTTGTTGACGTTTATATATTTTTGTTCTTTGGGATTGAACGTTTCCCCCTGTTATGTAGTGATGTGTTATTTTTATATGCCTATACAATGCTGTGTTATACAAGGTGTTTGTCCCCCCATCTACTGCCCAACACAAAACTTGACCTGTCTCATTTTTTTGAGAGAACCAGTGAATCGGTGAAAATGACTCCCTGATAAGGTTCTTCAGAAACGAACACCTACGTTTTATAACATATATTGAAACCCATTCATTTACGATTATTGTAATCCCTTAAATTGCAATTAAATTAAAGTTGAACTAAAACCACAAAGTATGTAATATTACGTTTTTATCTATGTTCTACATTTTTCTCAAGTGTTATATTGAATATGTTATATTATTTATTTTGCATATACAATTCGACCGGGGCCGTGATTATAAGAGTTGTGGGGTCATTTTTTCCCGCGGTACTTGTTCATCGCCAGATGGATCATATTTACATTTGGCTTCCCCAAGCAGAAGTAATAGTTGATGGTTAATTCCTGCCAACTACACTTCGAATCTAAATACAATTGCCCCGTTCCACAATGCGAGCTCAGCGCTAGTCGTAGCCCTAAGATAGCTTTGTGAAACCTGGTCATTAGTCACGAAAAACAACCATGAATTAGAGTTACGTCCCTTGAAATCACGTCCGCTTCTGCAAGCACCCATATTTTGCGCCATGGGGAAGGTATTTGCAAAATAGTGGTTAAATAACTGTTTTTAGCTCAAATGTTGTAACAGTTCTCCGTTAAACCTGGTCTGTAGTCACGAAACAAATAACAATACACCAAACGTTTTGCTGATGCAAAAGTTGACATTGAAGCAAGCGCATTTGCACGATTATTGTACATATGTTTACATACATATGAATGTTGGTTATTCAACAGCCTGACTTATATTGTCTCATGTATAATTCGAACAGTTGTTATTGTTGGTGTTCGTGATGTTTTTAAATCAATTATAATTGCATAAATATACAGGTACATCGATTGTTTGGCTAGTTGTGCATAAAAAGAACAATCCTGACGCCGATGTTTAGCCACAAAACAACCATACCATGCCAACATATTTGTTGTCTGAAAAGTATAGAAGGACCGGGGAAAGTGGCTCACTTAGTGTCCCTATCTCCTATTGCGCTAAGACGGAACCCGGTCGCAAACATGGCCATGAGAGGGGCACGAGTCGCTATTCGGCTTATCCCGGAATAACACGAGTTGGTCACGAATGTTGAAAGCCGTGCGGTTGACACATCGTTGTATGTGGAGGGGAATGCCCGAGTAACTCTCCATTCCTTGGAGCAGAGGCCCCATAGGGGGCGAGGCCCATTATTGTTAAGGAATGGAGAGTTACGAGGATATTCCCCTATTTAAAAAACTCATCCCTACTTTTACACTTTGGCAAAATATTCTGTTGTGGAAAATATTTGAAAAATAAATCAGAACTCTTTGTTGTCTGTGTTTATACGTGAGTGGCCCTTGCGTGATTAACGAGGAATGCGTTCTCTGCCGCTGTTGCACGTGCACCAAGCTTCGCCGCGAGCTGACATTTAAAATGCATGGTACACAGCTCTTCATAATTTCGCTTGGTCGTAAACTTGTATTTATGACGTGTCCCCTCCAGATCACAGTGGGGGTCGGATAGTTCACACTATGCGATTTTGCGCATTTTATTTGAGTATTCGTTTGTGCGTCGCTGCTCTTTCTATTAACCACTGGTGTGTCTCTATAGACGTTTTTATTTCTGCTCTGATACGGGGTAATAGAGCTGGCTGCGGCGACAACACGCACTCACTCACTCACTCAAACTTAGACACACACTGCGGTTTGGGCAGATTTTGTGTTGTCAAATAAGCGAATATTTAACTTTTCATACGACACTAAGAAGTACATACACATGTTGAGGGTGCTGGGTCGCACTGACAGCTACCACATGAGAATTATTATAAAGTTTTGTTAAAAATATGTATTGCCCACAACGTAAACATTTACAGGGAATGAAAACAATTCATGTCGAAAGACTTCATAAATGAAGTTGAGTTTTCTTTATATATTACTGGATACACATATTGAGCACATGCTTATCAAAATACATAATGTGACATGTTGACATATATACAACACATTGACGCACATCAAATGACATTCACAAACCACAGACGGCGACTAACGGGATCAGATGGTCAGGCTCGCCGATTTGGTTGGTGCATGTCATCGTATCCCAAATGCGTGGATCGATGCTTATAATGTCAATCATGGAATGTCTGGTCCAGACGCGATTATTTACAGACCGCCGTCATGTAGCTGGAATATTGCTGAGTGCGGCGTTAAACAACAAACAAACAATATTTTTCTGCTAACCTAACATGACACGGCAACTAAAGACACCATAACTAATAATAATATCCGATACACGTTACGGGCATGTTCATCTTTCTAAGTTCGCCCGATTGTTTCATGGACTTTTTCCTAACCTCTTCGAAGTCGCCCATCATTCGGAACACAACAAACACAGGGGGATGGGCGTCGGTGGGGGTCATCTTTAACGTGCGCTGAGCGACGAGGGGCATATTCTGACACCGCGTCATATCCAGCCCGAGTTTCTCGTGGATGAACTTCCTGATTGTGTGATTCAAATTTTCTCCCGGGACTTCCCGTAATCCGTGAAACAACAGGTTGAACTTGTCGTTGCAACTGTTCACCGCGGAGATGTATCGTCGCACACCCTCCTCTCTCGCTCCATCGGAGGCGGTGTCACCGTGACCCCGAGATGAGGCCGCGGCTTCCACACTTTTCTCCACTCGGGCCAACCTGCTGCTGAGGTTAACTATCTCTGTGGTCAGTCTGTCCAGTTTATCAACTATCCCTGCTTGAGCATTCAGTACTTGGGACAACGTATCTCGTAATTGTTGATTTTCTGTCCGCTCGGACGCCATTTTGGATCAGCAGGTGCGAGGGGTCTATATTTAGTACGGAGTGGGTGGGCTCTTTGCTACCTGTCGACTTTCAGCGGGCATACCTGCTTATAACAGGGGAATCCCGCCTCGCTCTGATTCAACATCGTCTATGGAGATACATTCTGATACCAGGCTGCTTTGTTCGTTTGTTTTTGTTTGTTTGTTTTTTTACGCCGCATGCACTCAGCAATATTCCAGCTGTATGACGGCGGTCTGTCAATAATCGAGGCCAGGCCAGACAATCCAGTAAATGACATCATGAACATCGATCCACGCAATTGGGAGACGATGATATGCTTCAACCAAGTCAGCGAGCCTGACCACCCAATCCCGTTAGTAGCCTTTTACGACAAGCATAGAGTCACCTTTTACGGCAAGCATGGGTTGCTGAAGACCTATTCTACCCCGGATCCTCACGGTCGATATACCTGGCTGCAATTCCGCTGATCAACAAGAAAGTGTTGTCATTAGAAATATCTCAATTGCATAAAAGTTAAAATAAATAGCGCACCAACTGTTTTACATATGAATTCAGCATAGATTCACCTCCACATTACAAGACCTGTCACACAAGGGCACATAGAACGCCTTTGTTCTGTTTAGATATCGTTATATCATCAATTCAAATAGTTCTTCATTTAGGGATAAATGGTGTGACTGGAGGGTCACATATTTTGAATCCAGGATCTTTCTATTACAACATTCACCTGCACAACATTTACTAACGTAAGTAATTTTACACGTGTGTAACTATGCATACGTGCGTATACGTAATTGTACTATGCGTTCACATGAAAAGCATCTTAGGTGTGTAAATAAAGTATGTAAATTGTGTAAGGCACTAATATTAGTCAGTCGGTTTACGACTTTCAACACAAAACAGGTTGTTTTCCAATCAAAGTTGTATGAGAAGAGAGTTACTTCACCGAAAATTTTCACGTGAAGCAAAATGTGTTTGATTTATTTTGTACACAAAGTTTTGACTCCTGGAAACCAAAAAGAAAACACCGTCCGCTCAACTCTGTATATACGCCTAAAAGTTGGCAACTGTTGACAATTTGTTTGGTGTTGGCAAAAGAACAGATATTAATCAGATCATCCTCTTACGTTGACATAAACGTTCACATTGCAACATAAACACACAGTGCAAATTTAAATTTACATTTGCACCTGCTCCAGACATGATGCAAATTTGCTCCTGGTGTAAATATACACACATGAGTAAACGCGTTCACATGACAAGTACACTCACGTATGTATTTCTGCACACGTATGCACATATACACGCATATGTATAGAAGCTCATGTGAACGGGGTATGTCTCACAAGTTTTATAAACAATCTGTCATTGCTATACCCTTGTGGGATTATTAAATTGTACTGACACTTGTGTTTAGGTCACATGACCAAACCGAGACACCTGATTGGTTGGAAATGAAAACAATGTCGCCTGGTCCAAATTGCTGTTCATTTTTAGACTTATATTGCAAAGTAATACCAGGAAGATACTTTATTTGTTTCATGATTGGATTAAGAACAATGCACCAAATGTTGTCCAGTGATCGTTGAGAGGAACACAAATGGATTTTTTTACTCTGGTGAAGGTTCGTGTATGTGTGGAATATCTTGTTGATACAACTAAAGATATAACATGTATTCTTTTAACAGATACATATATCAATGACATGTTTCTGACTTGAATATTGGGCTCAACTATATCAAGATCTTTTTATCATGAAATGACAAACGTTTTAACATGATGATGATCCACTGTAAATAATCTATATTTCCTCTTTAATCACTGAATTCATGTCTGTTGAAATTAATTGAACTGAAACATGAGAACATGTTTGTAAATGCACGAAAACAATATGATACAGCGGATACAACTTTTTTTAAAGGGGGGTGGGGGGGGTGGGGGGGGGGGGGGGTGCACAATTAAGATCTATTTATTGTCTTTGGTGGTAATTTATACAGAAATAAAGATTTTTTTTCGAATAAAAAGGGGGGGGGGGCGCACCATGCACTGTCTCCTGTTTCATATAAACACGTGTGGTACTGGGTGTTCAACATTCAACTCATA